AGAGAACAGAACTTCATTCAAATTATTGTTATTATTAAATGTAAAATTTAATATTTGAATATTGTTTATTTTGTAATAATAAAAAAACCGTTGTAAACCATGTGGGAATACCATAGATACAAATGATAAGTTGACAACAAAATTTAGGACAAATAATGTAACGTTTAAACGCTTCTTTTGATTGTTGTCGGTTGTGGAGGTGTTGGTGATGGTTGGGGTCGTGTTGGTGGTGGTGTTGATTAAAACAAAACGATTTGCATAATCAAAATTCATTGATAATTCTGTTTTAAAACTTCTTTCTTTTTTCATTATCAAAGTTATGAAGAGTCATAAATTATCAAAGAATATAAATTTTATGAATTTTATTTTAGGAGACTATGGAAAGATGTTTTGGACTAGTTAGAAAATCATAATATGAGACAATGTTTAGTGGCCTGAAGATTTGATTTCAGTTGTTATTGAAATATACATGTGGCTAATTCTCGTATCGACCAAGTTGCAGTGTGATCACTAGTCTAGGTGACTCGACATTGTTGTACACTATGTTGAGATAAGATGGTGGTTGGAGGTAGTCAACTCGGGTTTCGTGTTATTTGGCACTCGTCAGCAAAGTGTAGCCTTAAACTTGAGGGAACTGGTGCTCCCTGATAGATTCGATCCCGTGTTACCCAGCTTCACTTGGTCGATAGCATTTGATCCGCACTAAGAAGGACTTGACACGCATGACGTTGATCACCACCCAGTAATCAATCAATCGTGATTACATCTCAGTCCTACAGGAGGACAGTCGCGACCCGATAGCCCTATGGTAACATCTTTAACTGTGAAACTATATGACACGGGATCGAATCCTTCAAAGAGCATCGGTTCCCTCAAGATTCCAGGTACATGTTACTGACGAGTGCCGAATAGCACGGAACGTAGGTCCTGCGTTTCCTGTTGTCTACCTTCAACCACCATCTTACCTCAAAAAATTAATCTCAGACACGTATTGAATAGGGTAAGCGATTAGCACATATACGATCATATAAAAACAATCAAGGTTGATAAGCGAATAATTAAAAAGGTCAAAATGTAACTCAAGAAGAAGGAATAAATTGACTTATCTGGAAGCTAGAATAAGTTATGTGGGTTGAACATAGAAGCCGACACTACATGCGTTTGACATACGACATTAAAAATAATGCTTAGGATTGATGCGCATTTAAGTAGATTGTAAGAATATAATTACTAAGAGTCATAATTGAAAATAAATAAATGATCTTATTAAGTGATTGAATGCAATCGAGTATCAAACTTTTATCGATGAAGGTTTCGTACTGGTTAACAATCATCAACAAAACAAACCTGTAATCTTGAGAGAGCTTATTCTTACTGTCAGATTCTAACATAATTCATTCAGTTTCGCAGTTAGAACTACTATAATTGAGTTATTTGGACAATGATTGAACTCAGTATCAGTATCTTAAAATTTGGTGAGTAGTATCAACTAATATGAAGTCTAGGTCCAGAGTTTTCGTCCAATAACTAGGATCAAAATAACCAGTGCATAGATAAAGCAAAGATTCTACCGTAGGTGAAATGAATTTATTACAATTATTTATGATTGAGATCTTGAACCGATTGATGTTAGACTATCATTGAAAACCTGAAAGCACTGGACTGAGTCCCACGATAGGACGAAATGGCCGTCCAGTGCTTCCAGGTGTTCAGTCGTGGTCTAACATCAATCGGTTCAAGATCTCAATCAATAACTTAATAATCTCCACAACCCTATACTGACAATTGTTTTTATAAGTATAAGTGAAGTTTATCACACTTTAATTGGGTATAATTTGATTAGATCTGAAATACTTAATGTCTTTAGCCCCCCCCCCCCGGTCAAGTCAAATTAAAACACTTTACACTATAGTAATATCCATCTTATTTTCAATATCCTTCGTATTTTAACCCAGTTTCAGCTTATGATAAGCCTTTAAATGAGATGAACATATTTAATCTAGTATATCTTAGTTGCCTAGCTTCCTACAAATATATTTATTCAATAATTAAATTCATGAGTCAGTTGAAGCTGGACTACTATGGAAAATCTGGAAGCACTGGACTCCTCAGCAGCGCGCCCACGATTACGCCCCGCGAGATTCGAACACGACCTATCAGTCACGCGCGCGAACGCTTGACCTTATGAGATTTCTCTAATATCTAAGAACAGAACTTTTAATGCATGCTATAAGAACAAATCATTTCAGGTAGATAGTAAATATGAATGGGGGTTTGAGCGTTCGCCTGCGAGACCTAAGGTTCTGGGTTTGAGTCCCATGGGGTGGAATCGTACATGTGCACCACTGAAGAGTCCCATACTAAGACGAAACAGCCATCCAATGTTTCCAAGTTTTCTATGGTAGTCTAGCTTTAATCGATTCATGAATTCGACTATTCAAAATTATTTCAATCTCCACAAAACCCCATTGTGATCGAGTTTATTCATTTTGTCGTCACACTCACACACACACACAAAGCTGGTAACATTAAAATAAAATGCATATTTTGTGTATGATTGTATATGTTGCTATGTGTGTATGTACGTATGTAACTATGGGGAAAGAGAGAGAGGGGGGAGAGATTGTAAATGGTATTGTTTGATATATGTAGCATGATTTTAAAAAAGATGGCGTGTAATTTGATCTTCCCTAAAATTTACATTCTTTCCTTCTTTCCTTCTTTCTTTCTTAATAGATAGTCTATAAATTTTTTGTTTGTTCATTAGAATAATTGAAAGTTGAAAAATTATTTTAAAAGTTTAACTTGTGTTTACAATTGATTGATCACTGGGTGATGATCAATGTCATGCTTGTCTAGTCCTTATTAGTGCAGATCGAATGATCGATAGCATTCGAGGTCAGTCGCCGCTCGGATAGCTCAGTGGTAATGTCTCTGACTGTGAAGCTGTGTGACACGATATTGAATCCGCCAGGGAGCACCAGTTCCCTCAAGATTACAAGCACACCTTGCTGACGAGTCCCAAGTAGCACGAAACTCGGGTCCAGGTTTTCCTGTTGACTACCTCCAACCACCATCTTAGTCTTAACTTGTGTTTTAATAAAAGCAATTCATTGAAGTAGTTACATTTGATGATTGGTAGTTGTGATACATTCGATTGTATTGAATCGGAGTTAAGTATTCATTATGATGAAATGAAAGCATGAATATGTATAGCATTTCTTTGAATCGTCCGAAGTGAATTGGTTAGATGGATGTTAGATCATTATTAGAAACTTGGAAGAACTAGTAGTACTAGCATGGAACTCCTCAGCAGTGAGTACTTGTTATGTTCCGATAAGCATAATGAATGGTAACTGTTGGGATCCACATATGGACCATTACTATGCATATAATTCTATTGTATAATTGTTAAATAACTAAACTATTGATATTCATATTCCTCTTATTCTAAGCTTTATTTTGACAATATGAACTATTATTACACGATTTACCATTCTTGAATTATGCCGTGTCTATTAACCACTACCTTCCTCATTCACAGCCACATTTGGCCAAATGTTGTATAAATGTTGTTTCGTATTTTATGGTAAGGTGTGGTCTGTCTGATTAGTGGTATATAAATCGAGTATGTTTGAAATAAATGATTCATATCGCAGAGACTGAGATTGGTGTTGTGGACTTAACTGGCTGAGCTAGGCAGGAAGCAGGACCGATAGGTACTCTAGACTGCTCGTATGGGTTTTACGCGTCATTGTTCCGATCGATAATACATTGCTCTCTAATTCGCGGTACCTTTACGCTATACATTAGCAGGGCACTCAGGTCACAAGTTATAACATTACTAATGATCCTGCATGTGGGATTCGAACCCATGACGTAAGGTTATGTATGCGAACGCTTAATATCTAGACCAATGAGCTGGTATTCACTGATGTTCATGACTCAATTCAATTAATCCACGAAATTGTGTGGCCATCTTCTATTGTGCTGAAGTAGATATCTGTCTTAATTTAACATGGATTAGCTCCATTTTACCAACATTTGATCATTCTATTGTGATATTGTGAATTTTTCTGTTGATAGTGTTCACGAATAATCTGATCTGTCTTTGTTAGTGTATAAGCTAATTGAACAGAGATTTATATATTATATACATTCATTTGGTGAATATATGAACAGTTATGTAATCAGAATCTTTATCATGAGAATTTATTTACTATATATTAGCCGATACATTCCCAAGATTCATTGTAGGTGGAAATATTCACTCAGGATTGGAGTCAATTCGTTTCAAATGAGAAAACACCAAAGTCTTTCATCTGACTGAATCGTTTGTTTCGCTTTCATTCTTCTTAATTATCATAATTAGTATTTTGAAAGTCTAACAATGATCTCATTAAAGTGAAAAAATCTTTTATGGATTACTAATAACTAGTTAGCCCCTAAATGCCCTGGTACGATCGAGAATGTGGAGAGTCAGCTCTCTCTCTCTCTCCCTCTCGAAAAACTCTCATATGGCCATGAGTATACAGACACTGCCAAGTAAGTCCTACCCATTGCCTTCTCGCAGCAACGGCTTTGTTTACGAAATTGAGAAGACGAAAAGTGAATGTCCTGCGCTTTAACTAGGTTAGTGGACATGGAGAGTTCACCTGAGGAAGTGGAAAAATCCTTACTCTAAACCAATGGTGAACATGGGCTCCAGGATCCCGAAGGAACAAATAGCGTATAAACCCATTGCTAGTTATTGACTAACATGTGACTGCATCTACTAACGTCACTCCATTGCCTAATGGATCAGACCTTTAGGTCAAAGCCTCAGAGTGTAGCCCCCTAAGAAAATCACTTGCTTCAGTATGGCCACTCGAGTAGTATCACAGCGCAAACACAAGTGTATTCGATGCCCCTTTGTACCAATATTTATGTGTTCAGATAAAGATAATAAGTACTTTTAAACAAGATAAGTGTTTTATTTAATTTTTCCTTGTAAATTCCAGAACTCAACTATCCCAATTTAGTTACTCTATCAAAGGATCTATTACATCAGGTAAGATTTGTATTATTCAAATATTTGACTTGATATATTTAATCAGTAATATTTATATTAATCGCTTTATTTCAGGGTAGTCTTAAGACGTTTTTCAAGTTTGTACAATAAAAATGTCTTGATGTAAGATGGTGGTTAGAAGTAGTTAACAGGAAATCTTGTACCCAAGTGTAACTATAATCTTGAGGGAACTGATGCTTCCTGACGGATTCCACCTCGTGTTACATAGCTTCACAATCAAAGATGTTACCATTGGGTTATCCGATCTACGACTGACCTCCTGTGGGACTGAGATGTATTCACAATTAATTGATCACTAAGTGGTGATGTGTTAATATTTCGTTATGAAATTGAAAATGTCATAGATACACATCTCATCTTATTTCATTATATAAGATGAACTGAATCAATTATGTTTCATGCTTAGTTACTAGTTCATTACAATACTATTCACTTCGCTAATAATTCTATAGAAATATTTGACAATAAAGAACACATAAACTGAAGTGGGGGGTGGGGGGGGGGTAGGGCGAACTCTTAAAAAAACGACTTCATTAATAAGAAAACAGTTGATACCAGTTTCTCATTTATTAAATATTAATAGGTGTTATTATAACCTATTAATGGATCAGTTATTCATTTTATAATATATGAACTTATAATGTTAATTATTAATATTCTTTATTAATCTATTCTTATTATAACCTCTTCTATTGATTATAGAATAAGATCATGTTTTACGGATCGTTCTTATAATCAATAGTTAATTCGTGAGTTCACCTAGGCTAGATCACCATTAAAAACCTGGAAAAACTGAATGGCCGTTTCATCCTAGTACGAAACTCATCAACAATGTACAACCAAGATCCCACACTTGGGATTCGAACCCAAGACCTTAGGTCTTACATGCAGATGCTTAACATCTAGACCACAGAGCCGGAATCCAACAGCGTTAATGTCTCACTTTTATCGATCCATAAATGACTACGTAACCATTCATTCATTGTTTGAGTTAGATACATGTCTCTACTCGATACGAATTGGACTCCATTGATCATGGCTTTTCAGTAGAACTCCAGGAAACCATACTGATATATAATATTTTAACTCTTTATATTTAAAACTCTATCCAAATGGGTGGATGAATTTTGGCGCCGAAATCAAAGACCCGTTATCTTATACCTTATTGGTTGATCCATAAATTTTAGTCTCGCCACACATTTAATTATTTTTACACTATCTCTATCCCTTACTAAGAAGATAGTAGATTTACAAAACTAAACCGGACATCTATAACTTACATTTTAAATAAATAACAAGTTTTCGTATTGTAAATTTGAAGTGGTCGGTATTCGATATAATTCATAAACTTCGTAGATAGTTCTTCTTGCTAACCATCATTAGATAACGACGTCCTAACGGTGTATACATCAGAAGACAAGTACGAAGTGTTGATCATGCTTATTATTGCACGACGCACAGATCACCAAAACTACAGACACGCCAAACAAGAATCAGAGGCTAATACCGAAGAGCAAGCAGGCGAGTGAGCATGAGATTCGAATGAGCGAGTCCAGCGAACAGGATTAAAATGTACATATATATACATAGTGAAATGAATGAATCATCGAATGAATTAAGCGACTAACACTAAGGCTAGCAGAATGAATATATGCATAGGCAGTAAGCACAATGTTCAAGCATGCCTATTCGTACAAGTGTAATAATAATAAAGGTACAATGATATAGATAAGTTGGTATCGTACGAATGACTCTGCCTGTTAAATAAGTTAACAAAAAGGCTTAACCAAATTCAATGTGAACAAACAACGCACTTCCAACATTTTTTTTCTAATTTCCTCTTCAGTTAGAAGCTGGTTTATTCTCCGTACAGTAGAACTAACTGGTCTTGACCTTCGTATTGAAGATTGTGACTTCGATATTGTAAAATAAAAGGGACTAATCATATTAAGTCTAGAATATCAACAACTTGAAAAAAAAACAACACAATAATCACTAACTATATCTGTCATACACAAATTTAGTAAATAAGATTCTTACATTTAAAAGGCTGGAAACAATGTTGAAGTGTTGATATGTTAATCAACATTTAAAGGCAGATGCATTTATCAAGTAAGTTCCACTCTGTTAGGGATCATCAGTTCTTTCAAGATTATAGGTATACCTTGATAGTAAGTGACAAATATCATGAAACTTAGTGTTATGTCCCGATGAGAATAATGAATGGTAACTGTTGAAATCCATTTATGGATCAACACTAGGAGTATATTATTATTGTTTAATTGTTAAGTAACTAAACTATTAATATTCATGTCCCTCTTATTATGAGCTTTAGTTTGATCTATGAACTATTATTATACGATTTACCTTTCTTGAGTTATGCCCAGTCTCTTAATTACAGTCTCCCACATTCACAGCCACATTTCGCTAAATCCTGTACAAATGTTGTTTCCTATTTTATGGTACGTTGTGGTCTATCTGGTTGGTATATAAACCTAGTATGTTTTAAATACATGATTCATATCGAAGAGGTTAAGATTGGTGTTCTGGACTCTAACAGGTAGGACAAGGCAGGGAGAAGGACCGATAGGGACTCTAGACTGCTCGTACAGGTTTATGAGTCATTGGTTCGGTCGATAATTCACTGTTCTCTAATTGGCGATATCACTACCTTATACACTGACAGGGGCACAAACTCTCAAGTTAGATCACTAGTTTGTTGTCGAATACCTCCAAAACATCACCATATAAATCCCACATCTTTGAATTTCATAGTAAACTCAATATTATTCAATGTCTATGTTATATCTAGAGCTTATATTCTTGATATGCGGCGTATAAGTTGAGCATTTGAACGCCAAATCCTTCCAAGTCGCAAATAAGAAAACAGAAGACAAGTGAAAGGAATTTTATTGCAGACAGTACAGATAGTACAAAACTGTCCGGTATTTATAGTTTTTAGTAAGAGCGAAATCATCATTATAGCTAACAATCCACACACAGGGGGTTATTAGAATTGTCCAATCGGGAAGCTACACGTAGAGATTCTAGACTATTCTTTCAAAAGGTGATTGAATAGAATATCTTCAGCTCCTTCTGAGCTACCTACAGCTTCTTCGAGTTCACCCATGGACTACCCTCATAATCTAAAAGTTTAATCGTTTTACATTTTTAAAAAAATCAAATTAACAATTCAATCTTTATTTTAGATTCAGTCAGTCAGTCAGCTACGACGTAGGACCATCACATATATGCATCGGTCTAAGTTGCCATAGCATTAGTCCGACCGTCGTTGCTACCTTGACGTGGTGGACGGGCTTGCCTATCGTAATGAACTAATCGATTTATACTGGCTGGAACAACCGTTCCTCAAGGTCCTACCATGCCGGACAGGTCGGTTGAAGAGCGGTAAGACTAAAAGCAGCAAACCTAAGGTCCGAAGGCGAAGTCGTACTGCTGACTGTACAGAACTGTGACAGCAGTAAGTTGTTTCCTTCGGACAACCAGAATGACAACGATGCTGCCTTCCCAAAAGCAAGGGTGGTGTTAGAAAAGGTCGAGACTAAAAATACACACCTCGCCTTATCCCACGGATATCCGTCTCCAGTGCTAAGGTCTCAACAAGTACGGAGCTGACACGAAAATTACTCACAAAAACGTTATGTGTGTCCGACCTCAAGCAGTTGTCCCTTGGGCATTGAGGTCAGGCTCTCAGGTCACTAAGACCACCTCTAATCCGATTTCCTTTTCAGGTACCTGCAGAAGAACCCTTCCACGGTGTGGGCAACCGGGAAGTGATAACCTAAGACCATTGTTTTCAACTCCCTTATTATAGATTAAAATTACTCACTTAGAAACTCTCAAATTTATTGATTAAGTATATACATATTTATGTTTCATATATGATTATAGAATCTTTTGAAATTCTTCTTGAACTTTGAATAGAATTGATATACAATTTTAATCCGTTCAATCATTGAATAAACATTCATTACAATTGAATAAGACGATTCAAAGAGATTTCCTTAATTTATTTTAATTCCATTAAATAATCATAATAATAATAATAATAACCTGAAATAATCTTCATGAAAAAGAAAGCGAAGAAGAAGAAGAAGATTTGTATCTCAAATGGATGAAATTGATAAAGTTTCGTCCTTAGAGAACAAAACTTCATCAGAACGGTCATAATCTATTTTATTATTAATTTAAATACATTAAACATAAAGAAGAGAAAAAAAAGAAACCCATTTATCACGATTATTATTATTATTACTACTTTTATTATTATTATTACTGTTATTGTAATATGACGTCCCTATAGACTATATATATATCGAATAGTTTAATTCCTGAATATGTTTAGATTAAATGAATGTTTATCTACACTTTAGTTAATTTATTCATAATCTATTGAATGTAAACATGAAGGAAAAGAAAAGTTATTTATCTTTAGGTCAATTATTTGTTTGTTTGTTTGTTGTTTGCTGTTTGTTGTTTCTTCCCTGTGAAATAAAAACACCCCCCCACACACACACACAAAAAAAAACACACACAAACACAGAAACACAAAACTCATGTTATTAACCATAATAGAACAATAACATAATTAATAATGTAGATTAATAAATAAGGTCAATTAATGATAAACTATTATACAAAAGAAGAATATAAATATACTTATTATTGATTTGAACACATAAATATTGGTACAAAGGGGCATCGAATACAAGTGCGCCACAGAAGTCACTTGATTTGTGTTTTTGTGCTGTGATACTACTCGAGTAGCCAGACCGAAGTAAGTGGTTACATGAAGAAATGTTATCCCAGTCTGAGCTCAGGAGGTCCCAGTCAGCATGCAATATCGAGGCAGGATGCATATATGCCAATATCAGACTGATGAATTACAGTCCTAAATATCAATTGAAAGTCTTAAACAACCAATACAAGTATGTGTTGAAAGTTCATTCCATTGCACAAGAAAATGGCTATCAGGTGTCAATAGCTAATATGGATAATGCGATGCCGTTTGAAGCGAACGGTACTACATTCGAGTCTTGGAATGGACATCATCTAAGCGCTGCAGATACATCTGGCTGATGAGTCCCAAATAGAACGAAAAGCGTGTTTTGGATTCCACAGTTAGCCACTATCCATCTCTGCTTATAGATATTTAGTACAGTTTCTAACAGATTCGAAGTGTTTATAATAAAAAGAAATGAATTTCATTGATAACTATTCAGAATATCTGGTTTATATATCATTGATTTATAAAGGGAATGCATTGTTGTATTGTCATAGTAACTTTTTTACGTTACTTAAATAGTTTCAACAACAACAAAAAAACGTAACTGTAACAATATCTATGTATTAACGCTATTAATATACTTCTAATGATATGAAATTAATAATTAAGATCATTATCATATCATTCCATCATTAGTGTACAAGTGTTGATCTATTTCATAAGAGAAAGTGTCAACAGAGCAAATTTCACAAACATCCGTTCTTTTTTTGTATTAAATATAGAAACAATATTAACATTAACTACAGACTATTTCATGAGTTTACTAAACTTGCTTACTTGCTTACTTACTCCTGTTACCTCTCGTCGAGGAGCATCGGCTGACAACCAGCGTTCTCCAACACACTCTGTCCTCGGTCATCCTTTCCACTTTTATCCAATTCTCCTTCATTCTTCTCATGTCTGTCTCCATTTCTCGATGTAATGTGTTCTTCGCACTTCCTCTTTTCCTTTTTTAGCTTTGAGGATTCCATGTGAGTGCGTGTCTTATGATGGCGTAGTTGGGTGCTTTTCTCATTGTGTATCCTATCCACTTCCAGCACTTCTTCCTGATTTCCTCCTTCACTAGGATCTGATTTGTTCTCTCCCATAGTAATAGGTTGCTACTGATATTGTCTGGCTAACGGATCCGAAGTATTTTGTGTAGATAACTGTTAATAAACACTTGTATCTTGTGGATGATAGCTTTCGTAGTTCTCCAGGTTTCTTCTCCATACAATAGAACAATCTTGACATTTGTATTGAAAATTCTGACTTTGGTGTTGATTAACAGACAGTCGCATTGAGTTCCACATGTTCTGCAATTGTAGATAAGCTACTCTTGCTCTTTTCGATCTACTCCTTCACATCTCTATGGAGTTAGCGACTACATCCCCTTGAAAACGAACTCACTAAAAACAACCCTAACCAATTCACCAAACTGTTTATTGTTTTTCATTAAACTTAACTCTTCACTTATTTACTTTATTCTTAGTTCATTTACTATCGATTATCTTCGTTTTGTCTTTTTGTTGATTTTTCTAAAAACATAGATAATTGAGAAAACGAATTATACAAATTGTGTGTTAATATTCAGTACAGATGAATCTAATCAGTTATTATGTATAGTAAGTAGTATCATCTTTTAATCATAATACGATATGTGTATACTGATCTTATTATTTAGTAAATAATTCACTTGGTATTGTTTGCTTGAATCTTCCCAATGATGATCTGGACTGCAATTGATCAGTCTCTTATTGGCATATGTGCATCCAGTGAGGATTACCTCGATATTGCCTTAAGTTACAAGCTTTTCGTAAGCAATGATGGATAGTGGCTAGCGGTGGAATCCAGTTTGACGCGCGTCTCGTCTTATTTGAGACTCGCCAGCGGGATGTGCCTGCATCTTAGAGGTGATGTTCACTCTGGGACTCGAACCCAGTACCGTTCGATTCAAACGTCATCACACTAGAGTCCTGATAGCCACTTGCTTGTGCAATGCAGTAAAGTTTAAATTCACTTGCTATTGTTTACTTGAATCTTACCATTTAAAAAAGGCGAAAAATGGATCTGTACATGCTGAGAAACATCTTGTCTAATCAGCATTCAATAGACGTTTTGCCAGGAGCATCTAGATAGTGAAAAGTCATATATCACGTTTTTGATTGGATGATTATCTATACTACTACTATGTTTAGTAAGGCTTCCAGAACTTTCCGGAAACCGAAGACCATCGAAAATACTACAAACACCCTAGATTTTCTGTACATAAACGAACCTTTGGAGCAGATCATTTTCTTTCATATATTTTTCATCTTTTCTCTCATGTTCAATTTGCTGTTTAGATTTAGCCTTGGTGTTATTAGAAGCGCTTGGGAAAGGAAATCTAACGTTCAATTAGAAGACTTATCATTTACACATCACTCAATGTCTTCAATTCGATTTGATATGCCTATTACTTGTCTATCCAGTCAAGTTTATCCAACTAAATGAACAAATAATGATTGATATAGAAAAGCCGTTCATGTATATACATTACGGTTTTCTTTAAAAGTGTAGATAATCCGATGAGACTATATTTTATAAACGACTTTTCATCGATGCCAAATTGACTTTGAAAGTGTCTACTTACTTAATAAGACTAAATGAAGGTTGTAAATCAGTTTGAAGAATATGGATTATAATTCACAGTTAATGGTTAAAGTTTGGAATTAGATTTACAGTTTTTCATCACAAACTGGCTGACATCAACTACAATGCCAAGACATTAGTTGATCAAATGGATGAGTGAATTTCGCATCAAAAACCAAGACCTGTTATCCTAATTCTAATTAGTTTGTCCACAAATTATAATCTCATCGAATATCCTTTAATTATATATATATAGTGTAGACAACATTCATTACGATCTAATAATATCTGAAGGATCTAAACAGATCTTCAACAGGTCTCCCTAATGAATAACAATTACCTTAGAACATTCACATCTAACGATGATCACGATCATGATACCAAATAAGATCAAACGTCTCTTTTTCACATTTTTAAATCATGAATGAATTCCGTTTTAGTTCTTTGATATAACCATTAAAACTTTATAGCAAGGTTCATGCATTTACTTACCAATTTTTTATTGTATATTTTCATGATATACAGGCTTCATCAGATGAGTTATTTACAGGTCAATTGAAAATAGATGTAAGTTATCAATGGTAATGTTAATAAATAAATATTTTATTATTTAATAGTTGAAATCATGAGTGAATTGAAGCTACATCACTATGAAGAAGCTGGAAGCACTGAACGGTCATTTCGTCCTAGTGTGGAACTCCTCAGTGGTACGCATCCATGATCCTGCCTCGAGAGATTCAAATCCAGGACTTATCAGTATTGTGTGCGAACTTAACCTCTAGACCACTGAACCGGCCGGCCGGCATCGAACGGTATTAACGTCTAACTTCAACTAATCCATGAAACTGAATGACACATCCAGCACTGGCTTCAATAACTTAATATGTCACAACAGAACCATACTAGAACGAAACGACCATCCAGTGCTTCCAGGTCTTCCATGGTGATTTGGCTTTGATTTACTGATAATCTCAACTATGAAAATCATCTATATGTCAAGTAAAAGTTAAGTGTGATGAATATCGGAACAAACATAAACTAACAGTAATAATAATAATAATAATAATAATTCTGTATTTGATACACACTTATGTAAGAGATTAAAAGAAAAAAGAAAAAACATTTAAAGTTATTCCTAAGCACTATTATTATTATTATTGCCCTGGGTGAATGTTTCACCTTAAGGGTAAGTTCCATTTATCAATTCTAATTATTATATGAACAAGATAAAGGTAGATTTCAAGCTAAAATGAAAAGAAAGAAAAACGAAAAAGAGAAAAAACGAAAAAAGAAAAAAAGAGAAAAAGAAAAAAGAGAAAAAACATCCATTTTGTTTTTATTTTTGTTTTTTTGTATTGTGACAAAGAAATGGAATAAATAATTATCATAGGGGGGCATATATATATATATACCCTTTAGAAAAAAAAAGAAAAAATAGATGATCATTTAACATTTTATTAGAATTAAGGGAAGGGGTAACCTTATTTGATAAAAATAATAATAATAATAACAGTTTTATATTAATTGATGATGTAATCTATTCTATTCTTCTATAGTAACTAGAAATCAATGATTTCATTATTGAATACTCTTTATTTCTCACAATTGATTGATCACTGGGTGGTGATCAATGTCATGTGTGTCAAGTCCTTATTTAGTGCAGACCGAATGTTATCAACCATGTTGCAATATAGCCACTAGTCTAGGTGACTCGACACTGCGTGCACAATATATTGAGATTAGATGGTGGTGGGAGCATTTATATTGTATATATGTATTGATGTTTACTCCTGAACTCGAATCTAGTATTGTTTACTTTCAATGTCATCGGGTTATTCACATAACTATCATGTTTAAATAGACGAAGTAATTGAAATACAATTAAATCTTATCACTGTTGTACAAGTGTGTGACATTTTGGGTTTAGTAGTTTAAATGAATAACACGATAGTGTTGGAAACAAACAGTACTGAGTCCTAGTTCCAGAGCGAGCATCAATTCCAGAATGAAAGTATATTCAGTTGACATGTTCAAAATAGGATGAAATACTTGTCCTGAATTTCATTTCCAGTCACATTCCATCTATTTTAATATAAACTTATGTCGTAATGGCTACATCGAAACAATCGAAAGTTGACAAGTTTGAACATAAACATTATGAAAACTGTATGAATTTGTTTATCGAAGTATTGATAGTATGTTTAACTACTCATATGTATACTTATCTATTCTAAGATGAATGAGCTTTTATTGTCTTACACAAAAATAGTTGGTTTCATCTCCCAGAATTTATGTACAATCATCATCTATAGTTAAATTCTAACATTTGTACTTCAACAAGTTTCCACTTCTTTCATCTTCGTCGATCCTGACGATAACGCATTGAGTGATCACCAGTTAGATATTAGCAGTTCAACGATCGACATCTGAATCATGTTCATTCTTTTCAATGCATATTACCAGCCATCATAATATCACCGATTAGAATTTTTTGTGAGCGAAACACTGTAAACGATTCATAAACCCACCTGAATAGGTTATTGCCAATTAATTGACGTAATGATCTGTTAAAATAAACAAGGAAACAGATAGCTTATTGAAATATCTTGATGGTAAGAACAGGTAGCATATCATCCGGGTGTTCGACCCTCTTTACTCATTGATCAATTAAAAAACTTAGAAATGACAAAGTTATTTAAGCTTCTCAAAAGTTCTGAAGTACAGTTTCGCCAACAAAACTAAGGAACTTATATCCTGGGAAACTACCATTCAGTGTTATAAGTTACAGAAAACTTATGGTTTAAAAATTAGTTCTAATGAAAATGAAAGAATACAATAAAAGTATTAGAAATTTTATAGTTGAATTCATGAGTCTATTAAAGTTAGATGATCATGGAAAACTTGGAAACAATGGACAACTATTTCGTCCTAGTATGGGACTCCTCAGCAATGAGAAGCCGTGACCAGTGGAGTTCAACTAGGTCTGTTGTGAGATAGTATCTGAGTAAAGACAATCATGAACGGTGACGCGATTGCGTGGATTGGTTTAAGTTAGACAATAACACCACTGAATTCCAGCTTAGTGGTCTAGAGGTTAAGCGTTCGCGCGCGAGATCAATATGTCCTGGGATCGAATCCCATGGAGCGGGTTCGTGGATGCGCACTGGTGGGGACTCCCGTACTAAGATGAGACGGTCGTCTACTGTTTTCAGGTTTCCCATAGTAGTCTAGATTTATTTGACTCATGAATGCAACAATTATATATATATATACTACTTAATATAATTTTATATCCTCATGATTTTAATTCTTTTGAATAATGATGGCTTCCTACCATTTCATTATTAATTTCTATTCTTATTCTATAATAAATCTTTACTTATAACTGCATACCTTAATCATTATCTGTTATTACAATGATTCTAGATATATTAGATGAGGGGGGAGGGCTTTGTGGATATTATAGCAGGATGAGCAGAGTTGAGGAGTCTCATTGTAGGACGAAACGGCCATCCAGTGTTACCAGGTATTTTATGGTAGTCTAGCTTCAACTGACTCTTGATCTCAACTATTAAAATGACTCTACATATATTTAATGATTACTGAATTGTAATACAATTAACTATAATCAACCTCCAAAGCTAATTTGCAACTTTAATCGGTTCACTGATTCATGGGACAGAGTTATATATAAATGTATAAAAAAATGATACTGTGCAACCATCTTATGTTGCCATCGGAGATCATTTTGTTGACAATTAAATCTCTCCCTTACCTCTTAACAATTTTCTCCCATACTTACGCCTGTTACTCCCAATGGATCATAGGCCACCGACCAGCAATCTCCAACACACTCTATCCTCAACCTTCCTTTCCATTTCTATTCGATTTTTGTTCATTTTTCTCATGTTTTATTTAGCTTATTTAGCTAGGACTTTAGAATTTATCACTATCAATGTATGCTGCGTCACCGAAAGGCGCTTATAGAATCCAAGTACAGTCATTCATTTGAGCTCGTCTTGTCAATATAAAGAACCGGCACGATTTACAATTCGAATATCTAGAGACCCCACTTCTACTTTCTGTGGCCTCGCTGGTGTAGGTATAGCATTAAGTCCTAGAGCGGAACAGGCTCTCCAATAGACAGCCACTTGTGCGCTGTTCAACTAAACGAGACAGTAACAACCCGAAAACATGGTGTTACAAGCCGTGGCCTTTTTTTGTCTCTGTCTACGCCACTACTGGTTGCAGCTCTGACCAAGGTAATGGTGAATTTTATGGGAAGCTATCCAACCTCTTACAAAAAGCCAAACGCTCTGATGTAGTAATAGTGACAGGTGATTTTAATGCTCGAGTAGGTACAATAAACCATTTAGGCGGATCTTACGGTGTTGCGGCCCAGCGAACAGATAGTGGCGACCGTCTGTTGAAACTATGATCAGGTAAATGTCTAATTCTGGAAAACATCAACTTTAAACACAAGGAAAAACATCGTCTGACGTGGAGGCCTCCACAATCGACTCATTGATGAACTCAAACAGACCTAACTGCCCTAAACCATTGTTGAAGGAACTCGATTGAAGATTGTCACTCATTCCAAGTTAGGGCTTGCCTCGTGATGCAGTTTGATGATTTCCATAATGTATGGTCCTATCCAATTCGAACGTCTTTTCTTCATTTCTTCTTCAGTTGGAAGCTGGTTTGTTCTCTCCCATAGTAAGTTGTTGCTAATGGTATCAGACCAACGGACATTCAGTATCTTGCGTAGACAACTATTTATAAATACTTCTACTTTCTTGATGACGGTTGTATTAGTTCTCCATGTTTTAGCTCCATACAGCAGCGAAAAACGAATAGACGAAATAAATATTCCCAATTCAGGGATAACAGAAATAACAATCATATAATGAATGATTATATGAAATGCATAATCACGTATTATATTATAACATGAATTAGTTAAGAACTGATAATCATGAGTAGTGACCGGTAAATCAATAAACCGTTCAAATATATGAAGTGAAGGTTATTACATGAGACATATTTATTCACCTTATAATTCAAATTATTACTGACTGGATAACCTTCATAAGTACAGCTGATATAATTGATCCCACCAAAAGCAGAAATATAAATGGAAGTGGATCATTCTTATCACCAGGCAATTCAAAGACATTAGTTATAGTTTGAGACTCAAAGGTTCAATTTAGTTTTAAAATAAACCAAAGAGACTAGGGGAAAGATTGAAGAAATCTAAGGGTAATTTGAAAATTAGCATATCTAATTAGTGATCAGTGGTAAAATCCCGAAATGTTTGAGCTTCATTATAATATCAGATAGGTTTTGTGGATATTATAGTAATTTCAATGGTCAAGATCATGAGTCAGTTGAAGCCAGACCACTATACGAGCACTCATGATCTTAACCATTGAAATTACTATAATATCCACAAAACCTATCTGATATTAATCAACATATGCTCACTAGTGACTGGCTTCACGAAGTATATCTTGGAGTTCTAGTGAGAAACAGTGACCAGTGGAGTTCAACTGTGTCTGTTTTGAGATAGTAACTGACTGAAAACAATCTTGGGTGTGTCGCTGAATTTCGTGGATTGGTTGAAGTTAGACATTAACACCGTTGAATGCCGGCCGGCCGGCCGGCTCAGTTGTCTTATGGTTAAGCGTTCGCGCGCGAGATCGATACGTCTTGGATTTGAACCTGGCGAAGAGGGATCGTGTATGCGCACTGCTGAGGAGTCCCACAACAGGATGAAATGGCCGTTCAGTGCTTCCATGATTTCCATAGTGGTCTAGCTTCAATTGACTCATGAATTCAACTATTAAATTACTATAATATTCACAAAATCCCTCTCTGATAATAATACTTAAACTATTTAGACTACTCATAAGTAGGTGAACAATATAAGCTTACACTTTAATGTCACTTATTTTAATTGTGCTTAGGTTGAAAAACCTCTACTCGAAAATAATTCACCTTTATTCAATGATTCAACCATACAAGAAATTGAACAGGTTAGTACGTTTAACAAACATTCATACTATTATATTCATTCATGTTTTATTTTATTTATATTTTTTAACAAATGTTTATAGTTCTCTGAGCTGGATGGCTTTATCGTGGAACTTTCATCGTTCTTCTGAACGATACCATCAGCACAAACTTTACTTCTATCCGAAGTCTGTACTGGTGATGTCGTTCAGAAGAACACTGAAAGCTCCACGACTAAACCATCCAGCTCAGAGAACAAAACTCCATCAAAATCATCCACCTGAGCTACAAAACTTCTCCACCATCTCAAATGTATATAGTATACTCCATTTTATGCTTCATCAATAAGAGTTTCATAGAATATATTCTGGTTCTGCTCATTATTAAATTCGTCTCCTCTAGATATGAGAATTTCTTAATAAAGTTCCACAGGAAGGTATGTCACCAATTGCATGTAAGTGAAATTACCGAGTAAAGCGGCTGTTATGTTACCATTTAGTAATCTTACATCGTAATAAGTAGAATCTTCACAACCAGCACCAAGGTCAGAATTTTCAATAAAAATTGCAAGACTGTTCTACTGCATGGAACGGAAACCTGGAGAACTATGAAAGCCATCATCCAGAGGATAGAAGTGTTGTTGGCTACGCAAAACACTTCGGATCCGTTTACCCAGGCACTATCAGATACGACCTACTACTATGGGAGAGAACAAATTAGATTCCAGTGGAGGAGGAAATCAGGAAGAATTGCTGGAAGTGGATAAAACACATATTGAGGAAAGCAACCAACTGCGTCATTACAAGGCAAACCCTCACATAGAATCCTCAAGGTCAAAGAAGGAGAAGAGGAAGACCGATGAACACATTACACCGAGAAATGGAGACAGACATGAGAAGATTGAAGAAGAAATGGATAAACTAGAAAGGAAGGCCGAGGACAGAGTGTGTTGGAAAATGCTATTAGACGGCACATAATCCATTGGGAGTAACAGGCGTAAGTAAGTAAGGTAGGTAGGATCTTCCTAATTAAAGATTCATCATCATCATGACTGAAATTTCCATGCATATCATGGTTGTTGAATCTTTTCGAAGTGACATCAAATCTATTGAATGATTCAATGACAATTTAGTAATCCTTTGTTATTTTTAGATCAAAGAGAATTACTCCCAGTATTAACTATCCATGTTTGTCATTAATGAATATTTACCAAGTGGATATTGATTGAATAATATCAGTGATCAATTGACATGATAAGTTCAATGAACTGAAGTTATGAAAGTGAATACCGGTTTCGAACATAATTTTTTGAAGTTTAATATATCTCGTTAAGATGTCTGAATATCATGAGTTAAATTCATGGCATAGTCGTGAATATACACTGCTAACTGATTCTATACTCTGATGAAATAGCTTTAACCGTAACTCTTGGTTTTCAATAGTTGTTTAATCAATATTCACATCTGATGTACACCTAAAACTCAACAGTTTTTGTAAACCTATACTAATACTGATTATAACAAATAGAATGTATAAATTGATATTAAGAATAAACTGTAATATTAATTATAAAACAAGAGAGAACAACATAGCAACACTGGAAAACTATTTCAATATAAGGAACAGATAGTCCCCCTTCGAGCTACTGTCTGTCTCAAGCCTGGATAAAGAAGGAGGGTAGGGCATGGAGTTAACGACTCCATCCCGTAGAAAACTAACTCACCAACAAAAAAACATTAACCAGTAAAACTAATTAAAACCATTTAAATTCTACTTTGTGAGTTAGAAGGTCTTCATTTAGAACAGTTATGATGCCTCATGACGAAAGCTGATTTCCTTCGGAAGTCACATGGCTGATATCCCTTCTGACAAGTAGAGCAACCATTAATTTAAATATCTGGAATATTCGTACAATAAGGGAGGCAGAAAGAGTCATTCACATTGTTGCAAAATATATCACATAATCTCAGGATGATTAATTCAGTCCCATGTAAGTTCATGGTTTCGAATGGCTTAGAAACTATCAATTACAATAGGATATTTATAATCCCAACAGTTGAGATCATAAGTCAGTTGAAGCTAGACCACCATGGAAAATCTAGAAGCACTGGACGGCCATTTCGTCCTATTATGGGACTCCTCATCAGTGTGTATCCACGACCCCATCTCGCTTCAATTGACTCATGATCTCAACTGTTGAAATTACTACAATCTCCACAAAACCCCTTCTGAGGATATTTATATTCAAAGTTTACACTTTGTTCAATGATTCTTTTATGAATATTAATTATTTAAAGTAATTTTTCAATACCAAGCAACCAAAACGGAAATGCGACTATGTATTTCGAAAAAAAGAAACAGGAAAAAGAAAACAATATTGATAAAGTAGATCAATAAATTGATTAAAGAGTTGTTTTTTTTAACTTTAGTAATACAATTTAAATAGTTACTAGGCAAATTTTCATAAAGAGAATAATGAAGAAAAATAACAAATAAACATTAGTTGCTATGTATTATGTTCATATAGTTTATTATAACGTTCGAATAAGTCCATTTATGGATTCTTCTTGAATCATATTTTGACCTTATTCGTTTATCAATCTTGACTGTTCATTGCTTACCTTATTCATTACGTGTCTGCAATTTATTCATTTCCTTTGGCTTGACTATAGATAGATGAAATTGAGTTGGCTTATTCACCTTCTTCAATTGAGTATCATGTTGTCATGCTTCATTTTCTAATCAACGATTGTATGAAATATAAATGGAGTTAAAACTTCATTCTCATATTTAACCTATTTAATTCTGTTTATTTATTAATGCAGTTTAAGTCAATGATTATATAAGAGAATTTACGATATGTATATTCAGATAGCAATCATTCGTTTGATCTAATTGGAATCAGGTGTGTAGGATCACAAAGTTGATGAGCCCGTCGACGACGAAGAACATAACACAAACTTCCGCATTCCATACTTTCGATGAACTAACTCACCGAATCCAGCTCAATGGATACACCAGTCCGTTTTAGACTATAGGATCAAATTGGAGAGAGAGACTATGGCACCACTAAAGTGTACCCTAAGTATCTTATAGTGTAGTATGACAATACTTTAATACTAAACACGGTTAATTTTCTGTTTAACAACATCCTATACTCTGTCTAAACTATTCACTAGAATTTCAGGAATCCATTTAAAACTTAATCTTTTGTAAACATTTTATTATTCTTAGGTTGGTGAGCTCATAAAGATTTGCCTGGTTTCTGTTATATGTAGAGCTTAGACTCTTAATGTACTGCGTATAACTTCAGAACTCGAACTCCAGAACACTCCCAAGTCTCAAATGATAAAATATAAGACAAGTGAAAGGAATATTATTCCAGATAATGTCAATGATGGTACAAAACTGTCAAGTGTTTATAGTTTTTAGTAAAAATGGAATCATCATTATAATCCTCCAATCTGTATACAGTTTGTTATGAGCATTTATTCAATAGGGAAGCTCCATGTAGGGATTCTGGATTATTCTTTAAAAAAGAGATTGGATTGAAATCTTCAACACTTTCAAATCTTCTTAGAACTTCTTCAAGTTCACCCATAGATTGTTCTTACATATTCCTATTCATAATGTGATTATATTTTAAAATTCATATTCTTCTCATTGTATTGAATAGTTAACAATATATATTCACTTGAAGAATATTGTTTCAAGTAGTAGTAGTAGTAGTAGTAGTGTGGTGTGTGCTACTTATCTTGACATAAGTAGTATATGATGTTAGTCATGAACAGAAGGTCTGGCAGCAAAGAGACAAGAGGATCGAACCGCGAAGAATGGAAACAGGATGCGATTTGTATGAAAATGCAAGAACAATGAAGTCTGAGTCATTTTAAGACAAGTGAGTAAGTACATTCGATTGTCCCCCCCCCCATGGTGTTCTTCTTCACTACAGTAATAGCACATATTGTGTTATTGTATTTCTATCTTTCTCATTACATTTTTTTAGATCGATATAATTGATATTATTCAAAGACTATTCAATGATAAACCATCAGAATTGTTATTTCAATCTAATCAAAAGAAATTCATCTTCTATCATCTTGGCTCATTTCTTAAACAGAATACCATTCTATCCAATATAACAACTATAGATAATAATGATAATAATCCTATTGTAAATGTTTCTATCATACTTTGTTTATGGTCTATATGTTCCATAGATTATTTAACTAATGAAAATGACCTAACTATTGGGTAAGTATTCAAGTGATCTATCTACTTTAAATGGTTTCTATTCCCTATGATATAATCACAAACTAGTTACGATTGATACATTCAGAAATAAGGAGTAAAGTGAATTTGATGAATTTAACTAACAGTATTAGGGGTTGTGAAGATGATTCAGTTTTTGATTGAGATCATAATCTGTGTCTTACAGAGTGTATACACTTACACCATTATGATCGGTTGTGAGCTATATCATTCATAGTCTCCGACCATTGGTTACCATGGTCACGCGGACCCCAAACAAGTGGTCTGTATCTACTAACATGGCTCAGAACAAAAAATAGTGACTTTATGGAGTGACACCACATCTTAGTTTGTCCGCGTCTAACTTTCTTCTAACCATTCCCCAACACTCATCAGCGTTGTGAGTCTTCTTTTAGTACGTTTTTTTAGTACTAACGTATAAATTATAACGGTTATAGTGAAACAAGACAAACTCAGTTTCTTTTTGAGAGATTCAAGAGTTGTGTACTTCAACACTTTAAAAAATGATAATTAGTTCATGTACTAACTGTGTTGACTACAATTCAATGTCTTAAAGAAATGCACCGAGACTATATGAATGACTACTTTCGGACGAATCTCATATGACCTTGAGAAGTATTAGCCAATCAGGGGATAGTTAGTATAGAGTAAAACAATATATTATACAAAATGGATACACTTCTTATACATGGTTCAAAAGCTTTTCAAGGTTAGCAAGCGGTTCAGAGGGTCTAAAATCGTAATGCATACGGTAGAGAAAATCATCTATATGGCTTCATAATAGTCGGCTTTTGGAGCTATGATAAGGTCGCAAAAGCTCTTTCAGTCTCGGGCACATAGCTTCAGTACTGTTTGTGTGCATTCCGGTTGTTGAGTGCACAAAATGCTACTTCTGGATAACGACACAATGCACATAACCAAGTTAATTTAGACACCTGTACAAACTCCAGTCATCCATCAATATTATAGTACCCGGCTGCAGCTAGTGTTGCATATGCTTTTATTATGCAGCTCACAACAACTGTCATGATTTACCTTAGTCTCAATCTGTATCGAGCAAAAAAGATCCTATTGTAGCAGACTTCTTCCTCTACTACATATTACATCGAAAGACAACATTATCACAGTAGTCTGTACAAGATCCACAAGTTACTTGATTATTACAATCACAAGTAAAGGAATTTTTCGTAATCGCTCAATTATGACGTTTTCTGTAAAATTCACTATGAACCAATTGTACATGAGTATCAAGTACTGAAATAGGTACTGTGATCTTGAAATCCTTCAAATGCTTCTGATTGCCTCGTCCATAAATTATAGTGTTGCCGATTTTTTAGCCCTACTATTGATCTAATTAGGGTGTTCATTTTGTTAAAACAGCATCTTTATCAGTTATTGATTGACTGCTTTTTTTGTAGTTCTCAGAAAATCCATGCTGAAATTATGGACCTAATAGATAGATACAAAGGAAAATTATTGATTACGTACAAGCTTCAATATTTTTATAATCTAAAACTGTTTAATGACGTAAGTGTAATATTTCATTATCAATTATATTATGTTTACACCAATTATATATCTGCCCGAAAATGCCCTGGTACGGTCAAGAATGGGGAGAGTTCGCACTCCTTATCGAAGTGCTCTCATTTGGCCACGCGTATATAGCCTCTACCAGGGAAGTCCTACTCACTGCCTTCTCGTGGCGAGGGTGTTGTTTACGAAAATGAGAGGACGAAAAGCGAATGTCCGGCGCTTTAACCGGATTCCAAACCAATGGTGCACATGGTCTCCAGTATCCTACGGGAACAAATGGCGTATGAACCAATTGTTGGTCACAGTCTACCATGGGACTGCATCTCCTTACAATGCTCCACTGCCTTGTGGATCAGACTTTCAGGTTGACGGCTAGGGGACTGGCCCCCTAAGAAAACCACCTGATTCAGTTTGGGCACCCGGGCATTATCACAGCCCTCACACATATCAAATGAGATTTGTGTGGCGTATATGTGTTTGGTGCCTCCTTGTACCAATATCTATATGTTAAAATAAATAAATTATATATCTACATATAGTACACTGGATTGATGTTAGTCTCAGGAAAGTTGGTCAATTGATATTCATCAGTTGAATATACGTTCAATATTGAGGGAAATTCTACATCCCATAAGATTTGAACTTCAATTACCCTGTTCACATTCTCCGCTTCTAACACTAAACTATTCGAACATTTACTAACCTTGTACTAATCACATTTTATCGATCAAGTTTCAATTTAGTCACTAGTCAAATTGATTTAACAGATTATCCATTATGTTTTGATATTAAATGGTTGGAAGTATGTGACATTAAAGCTAATTCTATAAAAAATATGATAAATATTTATGAATGAACAATTCAATTAGATCCGTCTCATACTATCTTAGACTGATTGAAGTTGAACATTGCCACTATTGGATGTCGGCTTAGTTTGTCTAAAGGTTAAAGGATCACCTACCAAACCGAAATTTTTAAGTTCGAATACCGGGTGCGGGATCATGGAGTCCCATACTAAAGCGAAACAGCTGTTCGGTGCTTCAAGATTTTCCATGGTGATCTAGCTTAGACAAGCTCATGAATTTAACCATTAAAGATATCATTTTACCATGATTCCTAAAAAAAAGAAATTTCATTACAAACTAATTAACTCGGAAAATATCTAATAAGAAAATATTATCACTTTAGGGGTTGTGGAGATTGTTAAGTTTTTCATCGAGATCATGAACCGATTGATGTTAGACCACCATTGAAAACCTGGAAGCACTGGATGGCAAACTCGTCCTATTGTGGGACTCCTCGGCAGTGCGCATCCACGATCCCGCCTCACGAGATTCGAACCAGAGTCGATTTTCTTAGGGGACTACGCCCAGAGCCTTTGACCTAAAGGTCTCATCCACAAGGCAGTAGAGCAACACCAGCAGATGCACTCCCATGGTAGCCGGTGACCAACAATTTTTAATAATGCACCATTTATTCCTTCAGGATACTGGAGCCTATTGTCATCATTGGTTTGGAATCAAAGCTTTCCTACTCCGTAAGATGGATCTTCCGTGTCCATCATTCCGGTTAAAGTGCCGAATATTCACTTTTCATCCTCTCAATTTCAAAAAAAAACACCCGTGGAGCGAGAAAGCAGTGAGTAGGAATTCCCTGGCAGTGGTTGTATACACGTTTCTATGTGCGAGTATTTAGATATGGGGAGCTGACTGTTCTCACTCTCGGTCATACCAAGGCATTTGGGGTTTTTGCTACTAAGACTGACTCAGAAAATCTAGCATTTGCCTTATTCTCATATTATGAAACATTCTTGGATTGTCTACAAAACTTCTCAGTTAGAAGGGGAATGTAACTTAATACATTTACTGTTCTATTATCTATATACAAAAATAGATATAAATTCATTTTTATACCTTTTTATAGATTCTACATAAAGAAACATTAAGACTTAGTTGTATTATGAATCATAGAAATTTATATGAAAATGTTGCTGATAGTTTAAAGAAATTAATCAACTATGATTGGTGAGATTACATTTATATTTTGATTATGTAATAGTCTTGTTATGATCTATTATATAACTGAATGATGAGTTCGCCTTTTTGTTGTTGTTTGAATTCATTTCATAAATTATTATCAGAAGGGGTTTTGTGGAGAGTTTAGTCATTTCAATGATTGAAATCATGAGTCAATTGAAGCTAGACCAACATGGAAAACCTGGAAGCGCTGGACGACCGTTCCGTTTTAGTATGGGACTCCTCCCTGGCAGTGCGCATCTACGATTTTGCTCCCCGCGACATTCGAACCCAGGACCCGTCAGTTTCGGGTGCGAGCGAGCGCTTAAACATAAGATCACTGAGCCAACTGGCCGTCATCCAACGGTGTTAATGTCTAACTTCAACCAATCCAATTCACCAAATCCTTTCTGATAATAATCATCTGCTCACTAGTGATTGAATTCAAGATGCAATTTCTGGAGTTTAAGTGAAAACCCATAAATCATCGATCAAAATCTATTAAGATGAAAAAAGAATGTTGAATAAATTCATGGAAAATGTTGTTAAGACATTAGTGTAGACTCAGATGATTTTTTTGTCATAGCAGCTACTTCTTATGAATTTTGTTAGAAAGTTTTGTTCGAAAATCTAATGATTGATAAGCGAAGATGAATAGTGGTTAGTAGTGGAATCCAGTTTTACACGCGTTCCGTCCTATTTGGAACTCATCAGTTGGATGTACCTACACATCAGAGTTGGTGTTCACTCTGGGACTCGAACCCAGAACCGTTCAATTCAAAGCACCATTGCATTATCTACTTAGCTACTGAATCCGGATAGCCACCTGCTTGTGCAATGGGGTGAAATTTTAAATTTACTGGATGTTGTTTACTTGTCTCTTCCCATCATTATTTAAAACTGCATTTACATAGGGCGTTACATAGGGCGTACAATTCGACAGGTCCGTCACCGCATTACAGAACATCATCCAACATGGCTAAGCAAAGGACAGGTGAAAGTGATTAAAAGTTCTATTCTCTCTCACTTGGTTGACACAGGTCATCAAGTCGAAGTGAATAAAGCTTTTAAGGTTATCTACAATATTCCATCAAATCTACCACATAGTTTACGAGTGCGCCTTTTGCACATTGCGGAAGCCATCGCAATCCATGTTCACAAACCTGACCTTTGCATCCAAAAGAAATTCGTACAACCACTTTCTCTACCCTGGCCTTCAGTATAACATTTCTGTCAGAAGAACTATTTTTCATACTTCTTCCATTTTATTTTAATATTAAAATTTTTGTAATTTTGTTTCTATCGCTTTTGAGCCTTATAACTTCTCAACATTCATCTCTCGATTCTTACGTAACTACTATCCTATTGACCATCCGGTAAAATTCTATTCCTTCTTTGTTTCTTATATTACGCAACATAGCAACTTCTTGATTACTTTGAATATTAATAATCCTCTCTCTTCCAATTACTGAATGTTAATTTAAATGTCATTATGTAATTATTACGTAACGTATCCATTCGACGAGTATTATATTATTATTGTAAAACGTATATATATTAGTGTAGAGCCATGATGAAAAACTAATTGAAAAGAAATTTCTTCGCTCTATTCGTTCCTTCTTTATTTACCAAATGGCAAAATGGGAATTTTCACAAAACTGCATTTGATCAATCTCATATTGGCATATGTGCATCGTGTACGGACTGCCTTGATGTTGCTTTCGTTCACAAGGTTGATAAGCAAAGATATATATGAGACTGATCAATTGCAATCTTAAATAACAATGGAAAGATACAAATAAACAACATCAAGTGAATTTAATCATTGATAAGTTATTAAAAAGTAATTTCCGAACCTTCCTATTTTGCGGAAATGGCACAAAATCCCCAGAATGTTTGAGTAAATTTTGGGTTATACCAATCGCGTTCCATTCCCGTTGTTTCCTTTTCAATCTTCTACTAAAATACATTCTATTGAGGATTGAAGTATTTGGGAGTCTTTTTGTTAGGTTTTATTTAGTTAAAATTGTCGCTAACCCCATGCCCAATTCTTCTCCTTTATCCGGGCTTAGGACCGGCAGTAGCCCCAGAGGGGCTCCAGGCGGAGTTATCAGTAACTGTTTAGTGACCCTATAACTGACTTCATTTGGATCGTTTCTCATTGCTATCAATTAATCGATGTCGAACTAGACATCCTGACTATTCTCGTACATAATCATCGACTTAATCCACATTGGTGAATGACGGAATTAAATAAGTCAAATACGGAAATAGATTTTTGAATATATATATATTTTGTACACTCACTGATTTGGATAGAAAATGAGTGGGATGAAGCGAATAGAAGAGAGTGAAGTGAAATGACGCGCAGTAGAGGTGTGTGAGCCCAGCTCCATTTAATCAAGCGTTAATCAATATATATAGCTAGATAACTATAAGCTACAGATATGCGATGAGTACGATAAGAAGTGCACATACATACGCCTACATAAAAGCAGTCAAGTTTGATAAACAAATAATTGACAAGGTCAAGATGTAGCTTGAGAACAATGCATAAATTGGTTTGTTCAGAACCTAGAATAAGTTATGTGGGCTCGACATAGGACCAGCCATTACAGCTTATAAACTTTAAAAACAAACCTCTTCAAACTATTTGCATTGTCATCCTTCGTTAGAATGTACATGATAGTGAATTAACCATGTTGAACCATCTAAGAAATGGGATAGGGGGTTCTCGAGAATCGACTAAACGTTGTCATTGAGACCATTGAATTCTGGGTAACTGACACAAAAGTATCGTGTACACCATAAGATATAATGATCTCATTTTCCATGTGATGTATTATCATAAGTTCACTCTGGTAAAGAATAGCAGATCAAGGGGAAATAGACTGTTTTGTTGAGACTATAATTTACAGACGACCTTCGAGCGACAATAGACTGACGATGTCAGTGTAAACCTAATAACTAGAATTAAATGAAGATTATAAAGCAGTGTAAGGAATCCAAATTATGATTTACAGTTGATAGTTAGAGTTGACAATGAGATTTATAGTTTTTCATCACGAATTGACATTAACTATAATGCCAAAACTCTATTTAATCAAATGGATGAGTAAATTTCACGCCAAAATCCGAGACCTGTACTCTTCAATCTGATTGATTCATCCATATATTCTAGTGTCGCCACATTTTCTTTTTTCAATAGTTCATAAAATAGGCATCAGTTTGATAATGGGAACTATCCTAAAAACTGACTATCTTTCTTAACAATCAATAGAACACATTTTATTGCCATGTTATACTTTGAAAATACTCAATATTTTCTCATTTAAAAAGGATTTAAAGAAAGATTAAGATTTCTGTTCTATTTTATGCTGATGGAATTCTATTCTCTGAGCTGAATGGTTTTATCATGGAGCTTTCATCATTATTCTGAACAACATTATCAGTAGCACAAACTTCAGGTAGAAGTGAAATGTTCAAAAATTTTTCTATATATGACTCATAGCTTGTCCTGTAAACCTTGATGTTGATTAGTTCTTGTTGACCTTCCACCTGTCATTGTTCGGATCTCGCTAGGCAGGATTGTGGATGTGCATTACCACGAGAGATTCCCACAATAGGATGGAATGATTGTTCAGTGCTTCCAAGTTTTCCATGTTGGTCTAGCTTTAATTGACTAATGATCTCAACTGTTGAAGTTTACTTTTTTTAGTTGTATAACCCCCCTCTCTCATTGTTCTATTTTATTTTTCATTTTATCTATTTATCAACAAATTGGAAAATATAATAAAATCTATCGTAAAGTATATCAATTTATCATTTTGATAAAAATGAACAAGAATGGATTGAAGAATTAAAACAGTATCCAATGGAAAAACAAGTAAGTAATCCATTTCAAGTAAAAGGTAATATGCTCGGATACTCAAACCGAAACAGGTGGTTTTCATAGGGGGCCACACCAAGAGCCTTCGACCTAACGGTCTGATCCCCAAGGTAATGGAGCGACGTCAGTAGATGCAGTCCCATAGTAGATAGTGATCAATAATTGGTTCATACACCATTTGTTCCCTCAGGATTCTGGGATTCATGTGCACCATTGGTTTAGAATCAGGGTTTTCGAACTCCTCTAGGTGAATCCTCTATACCTATAAACCCGATTAAAGCATCGTATATTCGCTTTTCGTTCTCTCAGTTTCATAAACAACACTCGTAGCGCAAAAACTCAGTGAGTAGGACTTCCTTGGCAGTGGCTGTATACGCGTGGCTATGTGAGAGCAATTCGATAGGGAGAGCTGACTCTCCCTAACCTCGACTGTACCAGGGCATATTCGGGGGCTATATAAAACATTTCATATTATATCTTATGTTTTATAGAATTTACCAAACATTCAAAAACTAATTCGCTTATAAAAATCAATCTCAAAAGAGGCGTGTTTTGTATTTAATTGGTTATGGATGACAACTTTAACTTGAGCACTGAATGATTTATTACAACTGTTTTTTTTTAGAATCTACCTCTTTGATAAACATTAACAATCAGACGTTTTAGTCAACTGATTCGAATTCCATAATACTCTTATACTGACCTACTTTTATCAAGAGAACGCGTTTAGTTTAATGGAAACAATTATTATTATAACCAATTGTACCAGTGATTGTTTTACTGTACTTGTTTGTTTAACTGTACTAAAGACATCCATTATTCTTCCATTCTTCCTTCCGTTGATTGTGACCTTGCACGAACTTACGTTTGCTCAGTGAATCCGCTTGTAGTCCTTTAGCACAACCTCAGTATTCTTTAGATACCACGAGATCACTAACAAATATACTTCGCTACAACCTCCAATTGCTTTCTGATATCTGGTACGTAACCTTCTTGTAGTGGTGATCATAGTCAACCGCGAATCAACGCCACGCTACACTCTTCAGTTTGTAAAGATTTTCTAGTAACGAAGATACATTCTAATATTTTTATACAACTTATCTACTTATATACACAAGAATATTTTGTTTGTACATTTTAGGTAATTTATAAAAGGCGATGGAATAAATCACCATGGATGTTTGAAAGTCTTCTAAAACAAAATGGTATGAATATAAACCTTTATTGATTATTTATGAACACTTTAGTGTTATTAAGTTACTTACGCCTGTTACTACCCAGTGGAGCATAGGCCGCTGACCAGCATTCTACAACGCACTGTGTTCTCGACCTTCCTTTATAGTTTTATCCAATTCTTGTTTATTCTTCTCATGTATGTCTCCATTTCTCGACGTAATGTTGTTATAACTTGTGGCCTAAGTGCCCTGTTAATGGATAAGTAATGATACCGTCAATTAGAAAGCAATTACTTATCGAACGGATCAATGACGCGTAAACCCGTATGAGCAGTCTAGTGTACTTATTGGTCTCGTTTCCTGTCTAGCCGAGCCAGTTAAGTCCAGAACACCAATCTCAGTCTCTGCTATATGAATCGTGTGTTTCAAACACACTGGGTTTATATATCAACCAGACAGACCACATTGTACCATACAATATGAAACAAAATTTGTACAAGATTTGGTCAAATGTGATTGTGAATGTGAGAGGTAGTGATTAATAGACAGGGCATAACTCAAGAATGGAAAATCGTATAATAATGGTTGATAGGTCAAAATAAAGCTCATAATAAGAGGGTCATGAATATGAACAGTTTAGTTACATAACAATTACACGATAAAAGTATACGCATAGTCTTGATCCATAAATGGATCCCAACAGTTACCATTCATTATTCTTATCGGGATATAACAAATGTCTTCTTTAGTCTTCCTCTTCTCCTCCTTTGGCCTCGAGGATTCTAGGTGAAGGCTTGCCTTGTGACGCATTTGGGTGCTTTTCTCACTATGTATCCTATTCACTTCCATCGCTTGTTCCTGATTACTTCCTCCTCTGAGGATTTTAATGTGTGTACAATTAAACTTTGAAATAACCTACTATTTATTGGTTGTTAATTCTATGAAGGCTGTCTGATTGTTGATTATCTGACTGTTCTTGAAAGAAGAACGATTATTTATTCACCTGAGCTTATCATAATACTTTACACAAAGTGTTCCTGGAGATACATGTATAGTTACTGAATTTAGGAATTCACATAAAGATAATCAAAATATTTCTTGCTGATGTAGATGACTTTGATAGTGTCAGATTCAACAGAATGATTTATTTATATAATAATAGTGATGAAGCCCTTTTCATCTGGAATAGTGTTTGTTCTTTTTATTTCTGACTTTCTTCAAGGTCTTCTGTTTACTTTTGATCAGCTGATTTGAGTTTATTTTCATTCGGTTTTGTGTTGAATTACAAAGAACAACTGTCTGTCTTATATAAATTCACTTGATGTTGTTTGTTTTTTACTTGTATCTTCCCATTGTTATTTAGGACTGCAATTGATCAGTTTCTTATTAGCATATGTGCATACTGGGTGGATCGCCTCGATATAGTCTTAAGTCACAAGCTTTTAAAGCATAGATGGATTGTGGCGAGCAGTTGAATCCAGTATGCACGTTTCGTCCTACTTGGAACTCGTCAGTTGGATGTACCTGCATCTCAGAGTTGATATTCACTCTGGGATTCCAACCCAGTACCGTTCGCTTCAAATAATACCAACTGAATTTAAACTTCACTCCATTGCACAAGCAAGTGACTATCATCACTCAGTAGCTAAGTGGATAACGTGATGGTGTTTGAATCAAACGGTTCCGGGTTCGAGTCCCAGAGTGAATATCAACTCTGAGATGCAGGTAAATCCAGCTGACGACTCCTAAATAGGACGAAACGCGCGTCAAACTGGATTACACTACTAATCATTATCCATCTTTGCTTAAAAAGCTTGTGTCTGTCTTATATGCTTTCGAGTTTCATTGGTCGAAGATTATTATGACAATTTGAGGACAGTTTTGTTCGGTTTTTTCTTCTGTCAGTGGCTTTTTATTTACGTTATCTACTGGACTTCTATATCGTAGTTAGCAGGGGTCACAAACTTTGATTTTTGCATGCATTAGAAAAATCTCGAAGGTCTATCCTTAGTAATTTGTTATTTCATTGACTGTAACATCATCTATATAAAGGTTTATAGATATTATTGTATGTGATTGATATGACGAATCAACCTCAGTTGTACATCCATTGGAGACCAGAGAAGACTAGTCATCTACTTCATCCCAGTGTGATACTTCTCTGTAGTGAATATGCACAACCGCACTGAGGACCGAACCCATCATGTGGACAGTGTTAAGTTATTAATCCCACAAGAAAATGGAATATCATGAACTGATTGTATTTAGGCTCAATGGTATAAAGGTTATGTGTTTACATAGAGATCAAATTTCCTAGGTTCAATCATCTGTAGTAAGTTCATGAATGTTTACTACTGAAGAATCTTATACTAGGACGAAGCAGTTGCTCATTACTTCTTGATTTTTAATCAATATCTAACTTTTGTCATTTCATGATGTTAATGTCTATCACATTATTGAACCACTTTGAAGTTTTATCTTTGCTTCATAATTCATGACTACTAATTCTTATAGAAATTCTATTCAGCTTGAACCATGACTCGATATTCATTAAAAATCATGCAAATTATAAGTTCCTCCTCCCAAATCTTTTGGAATAGAAGGTAAAGCATGTTTGTAGTTACTTCGATGTCTGACTTCACTGCTTCAGCTGGTATGTTGTCGGGTCCCGCTGCTTTCCCGCTCTTGATTTGTCTGATGGCCATTCTTAGTTTTCTTAAAAGTGAATTTAAAATTATAAAAATTAAGATTAAAGTGACCTTTATTATATTTAATTAATGATTGGATAATATTTGGATTTCACTACTTTGAATGAATCTAATCCACTCAGAATGTGAACATATAACAACAGAGTTTGATCAATTACAGCAGTGCTTAATAACCAATAATAGTAGATTATAAACCCTCATTAAAATGACACTCATTCATTCGACTAATATTACAATTCTAGAATTTTTGATTGAGATCATAAATCGTTTGGTGTTAGACCACTATTGGAAACTTGTAAGCATTGAATAGCTGTTTCGTTCGAGTATGGGACTCCTCAATAGTAAATATCTACGATCCCGTACAGGAGATTCAAACACAGAACTTATCAGTCTCGTGCGCGAACGCTTGACCGACGGTGTTAATGTCTAACTTCAACCAACCCACGAAATCTCTTGATCATCTTCGATTGCCTGAAGTATATAACTGTTTCTATCTGACATGGATTAGCTTTACTAGACATAGGTTCTCACTAGAACTCCAAGAATTCCCTCACGAAGTTAGTCACTAATGAGCATATGGTAGAATTCATAATCATTTGTTCTATCACTTCATTAATGTATATTGAATGATGAATTCTATATTGGATCCAATGAATTAATCACTTTATACATTAGTTCTATTGAATAGTAGTAACATGACATAACCTGAATTCAAGTTCATTTCATTTTGTATCATTCCTTTTTATTTATTTATTAATAGAGATCAACATGGATCTTAGAACTTTGACAATAGATTCAATAGATTCTATCATTAAATCTATTAATCAACTTGATTTAAAGTAAGTTCTGATTTTGATAACACTTACTTGAGATGGTGGAGAAGATTTGTAGCTCAGGTGGATGATTTTGATGGAGTTTTATTCTTTGAGCTGGATGGTTTGGACGTGAAACTTTCATTGTTCTTCTGAACGACATCATCATCAAAGGCTTCGGATAGAAATAAAGTTTGTGCCAATGATATCTTTCAGAAGAACGATGAAAGCTCCACGATCAAACCACCCAGCTCAAAGAGCAAAACTCCATCAAAAATAATACTTACTATAAGATTAAACAATATGAACTAATGATATAATATGATGAATATTATAGTAATTTTAATAGTTGAATTCATGAGTTAAATAAAGCTAGACTATCATGTAAAAAACCTAAGAATACTAGACGGCTGTTTCGCCCTAGTATAGAACTCCTCTTCAGTCTTCATCCACGATCCTGCCCCGCGGGATTCGAAGCTATTTATATTTAAAGCTGTTAACGATATTGATAAGAGATGAATTCATTATATATATTCAATGAATTCAAAATTCATAGAATAAAAACGTCCGAAATATGAAAGGATCCTTTACCATAGACTGGTATTCACCGAAAATCCCTTAAAAACCAGAATCCACTATCATTAGCATAGATCCATAACTTAAAATCGAAGACACTAAAAACCTTTAGGGATTTTTATAAGTCAAATTACTACAACTCATAGTTTATACTTCAGTTTATTGATTGATGAATAATTTTTTTCTGGTTAGCGTTTTTTTAGCGAGTTAGTTTTCTACGGGATGAGGTCGCTAACCTCATGCCCAACCCTCTTCCTTTATCCGGGCTTCGGACCGGCAGTAGCCTCCGGAGGGACTCCAGGTGGAGTTTTATTGATTGATGACTAGTATTGAAATATAATTAATGGTTTATAGTGAGCAACTGTATGACCTATGTTCCTGTTTCTATGATATGATTATTACACTATGTTGTGAATGAAAATATTGACAGAAAACAAATTATATTTTCACCCCACTTGCGAACTATGAGAAATAAATACCGAGATCGTTAAATATTTGTTTAATTTGGTTGGCGTACTTTTGGCAAGATTTTTTTCTATGGGACAGGATTGTCGACCACATGCCCAACCCTGTTTCTTTACCCGGACTTGGGATCAGCTGTAACTCTTTGAGCGCATCATTGGTGAAAAAGGAGGGTCCGATGCAGACTCATAGACGAGGATCGGCAAAGCAAAGGCAGCATTCCAACAGTTGAAGGACATGTGTAACTTAAAACAACTGTTTGGAAACCAATATCAAAATGAGAATCTTCAATAAGAACGTCAAGATATTTCTACTGTATGGAGCTGAAACTTGGATAACAACTACTATAACCATCATCAAAAATGTACAAGTATTTATAAATAGTTGTCTACTCAAGATACCTAATGTACGTTGACCGGATATCATCAGCAACAACATATTGTGGGAGGGAACAAACCAACTATTAACTGAGGAAGGAATTAGGAAAAGGCGTTGGAAATTGATAGGACACACATTAAAGAAATCAACAAACTGCAACACGAGGTAGGCCCTAGCTTGGAATCCTGAAGGGAAGCGGAAAAGAGGAAGGCACAAGAACATACTACGTTGGGAATCGGAGCAGATATGAAAAGGGTGAATAGTAACTAGAAAGGACTGGAAAGGATTGCTTGGAACAGGGTTGGATGGAGAGTGCTGGTTGTCGGCCGATGCTCCTCAACAAGGAGTAGAGAACCTGTTCTATAGATTTACTTCATACAAACGATATCATGTATTCATACAGAATTCATCTTAGTAAATCATTCAATTATTCATCCACCAAATAAAAACGTTTCATATCAACAATCAATACAAACATCAATATCTTCATTAACGTTTATGTTTTATTAAGAGTAACAACTAGTATAGGATCAATGAATGATTTGAATAAAATATACTTTACTGTAGTATATTCTACTGATGTCAACAAATTTAAGTAGTATCTAAGGTGAAATGCCTGGTGGCAGATCGTTAAAATGATCAAAGAAAAGAGAACGAGAACAAAGATTGATTGATTTATGGACAAACCATTCACAGTCAAAGACGTTACTAGTGAGCTATCTGAGCCATCTAATCTCAATGTATAATGCATACAGTGTCGAGTCACCTAGACTGGTGGTCACATTGCAACTTGGTCGATAGCATTCGATCTGCATTAAATATGAACTTGACACACATAACATTGATTACCATCCAGTGATCAATCAGTTGTGACACTCAAGGTCAGTCTGGTGTCGCTCAAAGGTCATCCATAAATGATAGTCTCATCATCAAATGTCAATTACATAACAGTGATATGTCTTTAATGTTTGTTTGTTTATTTATTTGTTTATTTTAGTGTATACTTGATCCATTTGTTCTTCCATAATAATGATCCAAATCATTTAACCCTAATAGAATTTCATAAATTGAACAATGATCAACGATTTTCTAAATATGAGAAATATTTATTATCAAATTATATTACTGATTTCTTAATGGTTATAATGCCTCAAGTAAATTGAATTCATTCTCTTTAATGATTTAAATGTTTTGATTGTTTTATTTCTGTAGATTCTAGCAGAATAACATGAATTCATCTGATTTCATTTTTGATTAAGATCATGAATGGATTGATGTTAGACTACCATTGGAAATCTGGAAGCACTGAACGAATGTTTCATCCTCTTGTGAGACTTCTCAGGGGTGTGCGTCCATGGGTTTGAATCCCTCGAGCGAGATCGTGAATGAGCATTGCTGTGAGGAGTCTAGTAATAAGATGAAATGGCCATCCAGTGCTTTCAGGTTTTCCATGGTGGTCTAGTTTTAATTGACTCAACTATTATAATTACTATAATATATTCACAAAACCTCTTCTGATATTAATCTATCATTTGACAACAAGCATATACATCATTTTATTGTTGAAATAATATTGACCTAACTATTTTATTTTCTCAAGTTGTTGTCTATTTCAATGATGACCTCAGGAAATGGTTAATTCCTTTAGAATATATATGTTAATTTCCTTTCTCCCCCCCCCTCCATTTCCACCACCACCATCACCAACACCACCACCCACGCCTCCCCCAATATTGAAATGGACAACTTCATGTGGAATTAATGTAACTTTTTTTTGTCCTTTCAAAAAGAAAAAAAAAGTTTCCTTTTTTTCTACCTAAATGGATAAATGTTTTTGTTTTTTTCTTCTTCTAAAAGTAAACAATCTATCATTTTTCATGAATTTATTTATCGTTAGAAAATAAAAAAATGTGCCTAAGTAGAAAATATTTAACAATGAATAAATTACGATTTTGTTATTGTTAATGAAGCTGAGAGGAAGACATAAAGCGAATATTCGACGATTTAACCAGGTTGGTGGATACGGAAGATCTATCTAGGAGAGTTGGAAAACCCTGTACATTAGCTCCAGGATCCTCAAGAAACAAATGGTATATGAACCAATTGTTGATCACCGGTTACCATGGCATCGGATCTTCTTATCTTGCTCCACTACCTTGTAGATCAGACCTTTAGGTCAAAGGCTCAAGGTGTGGTTCCCTAAGAAAACCATCTGCTTCGGTCTGGGCACCTAGGAAGTATGACAGCCCACACACAAATCGAATGATTTATGTGGCGCATATCTCTTTGGTGCCATTTTGTACCAATGTTTATGTGTTTAAATAAATAAATTACGTCTAGACGCCATTAAAGAAAAAATGTGATTTATTTTCAATGTCTATTTTTAAAATAGACATACACTTAATATACATTTTGTTTTTAATTAAGAAAAGAATATCAGTATATGATCCGTTACCGTAGACCTGACACACATAACACTGATCACCACCCAGTGATCAATCAATTGCGATTACATCTCAGTCCTACAGAAGGTCGGTCGTGGCCCGGATAGCCCAGTGGTAATGTTTCTGACTGTGAGGCTGGGTGACACGGGATCGAATCCGTCAGGGAGCACCAGTTCCCTCAAGATTGCAGGTACACCTTGCTGACGAGTGTCAAATAGCACGAAACCTAGGTTCAGGGTTTCCTGTCGACTACCTCTAATCATCATCTTATCTCAACATAGTGCACGGAATGTCAAGTCACCTAGACTAGTGGCCACATTGCAACTTGTCTGATAGAATTCAATCTGTACTAAGGACCTGACAAATAACAGATTGATCACCACCCAGTGATCAATCAATTGTAAACTATCTATTCCCTTGAGAAATGTCTTACTGCCAATTCAGTTACCCATGTTTATAATTTGAGTTGATTAATCATATTGTGCTACAAATATCTGACACCGTTTATGATATCGGTTTCAAATCCTATATGAATGAGATCCATGATTCACGGATCTTTATCAGAACTTCTATGATACTTTCCATAGTTGTTCACTACTGTGTTAATTAATCATTACTTTGTTGTTGCTCATCAAATATTGATTCGGTTCAATTTCAATATTTTTTTAAGGTTTACTTAAACAATGAACTACACATAATGCGAAACAGAAATGAAATAAACTCTGAACTGGTTGCCTATCATATGAAAGTAAGCACTATATATATATATATATATTCTTATTAAAATGTTTATATATATATTTATTTCTGACTAATGTGTTTACTGAGATTTCAACCTTATTATTTCCATGATTTTTAATGTTGATCATTTGAATAAGCTGAAGTTAGACAAGCGAAGCGTTTCGTCCCATTCGGGACTCGTCAGCTGGATGCACCTGCGTCTTAGAGTTGATGTTCACTCTGGGACTCGAACCCAGTATCGTTTGCTTGAAACACCATCACGTTATTCACTTAACTATTGGGTCCTGGAGTGAACATCAACTCTGAGATGCATGTACACCCAACTGACTAGTCCCAAATAGGACGAAATGTGCGTCCTGGATTCCACTGCTAACCACCATTCATCCATCCAACGTTCTCGTCGACTGAAATCTCAGGCATTGATCTCCTACAAGGAGGTCCACTTATCGACTTAGAATACGCAGATGATATAGCCCTGTTTCGTGAAGACGCTGATAAAATACAGAGTCTTCTGGTAACACTAAACAACAATGCCAGAATGTTTGGAGTGAGATTCTCTCCCTCTAAATGCAAGTTGTTGCTTCAGGGCTGGTCTGCGTCAACACCTGAACTACGGATAGGGATTGAAGTAGTCTAACACGTTGACAACTTCACTTATCTTGGAATTCTGATTAGCTCTAATGCGTCGGTGTCTGACGAAATTTCATCACGGATTCGAAAAGCTCGCTTGGCTTTTGCCAACCTACGTCACCTATGGCAAAGGTGAGATATCCGTCTATCAATAAAACGACGACTACACTGCGCGGTAGATCGTTCTGTTTTAATTTACGGCTGCGAAACATGGCCATTAAGAGTAGAAGACACTCGTAAGCTACTAGTATTTGACCAGATGCCTCAGAAATATTGCTGGTATCTACTGGGATCACCAGGTAAGTAATAGTGAGGTTAGACGCGGGGTATTAGGGAACGATGGTAAATCAGTTGATGAGGTTGTGAATCTTCATCGGCTGAGATGGTTGGGCCACGTGTTACGTATGACTGAATACCGATTACCACGACGTGCAATGCTAACCGGTATTGGAGATGGTTGGAAGAAAGTTTGGGGAGACTAAACCAAAACGTTACACCAGTCCATAAAGCCATTGACTTCTGTTTTTAGCCATGTTGGTAGACGCAGACTACTTGGTTGGGGTCCACGTGACTATCGTAATCAATGGTTGGAGACCGAGTGACATGGCTCAGAATCGATCACAATAGCGTTGGTGTATACACTCTTTGTCTTCCCTTAAACTAAGAGATTAAAATCGCTTGATATTTTTCTTTCTAAGAACTTATTCTTTCTTCCCGTACTATGTCCTTATATGCAATCTTTCTTTTTCATATTACCACCCTTGATTTAACAACTCCTATGAACGCGGTGTTAATCTTGCTGTGCTAATGGGGTATGGCAAGTTGGGCCGATGCATATATGTGCCTGGTCCTACGTTGTAGCTGACTGACTGACTGACCATCCATCTTTGCTTAGAATGCTTGTGAATTAAAGCAATATTGATGCAATCCGCACAGTATTCACATATGCTAATTCAAGATTGATCAATTACAGTCCTAACACATCAATGAGAAGATTCAAGTAAACAACACCAAGTGAACTGAAGTTAGATAGTTTTCATTTGTATTTGATAAATGATGGTTTTCAATGCGCATACACCCTGGCTATCCTCGACTTAATTCGCATTAGTGAATAACGAAATTAAATAAGTCAAATAAAAGAATGAATGCTTGAATACGTATATTTTGTACACTCGTTGATTGAAACAGACAATTAGAGAATCACAGCGAATGAAGCGAAGAAGAGAGAGCAAAGCGAATCGAAAGGACGAACAGTGGAGAGCCAACTTCATCAATACTTCTAGTCACTCATAAATATACTACAGACATGTGATGAGTAGGAAAAGGTGTACACACATACGCGCTCATATAAAAACAGTCAAGACTGATAAGTGAGTAATGAATAAGGTTAAAATATAACTCAAGAAGAATGGTTAAATTGGCTTGTCCAGAAGCTGGAATAAGGTATATAGGCTTAACATGACAACCGACACTACACTGTAATTGAAAGCACAGTTAAACTTTTATCGACAATCATTAGACTCTAATGTTCAACGTCGATTGAACTGGCTGTTTGTTATTTACCAAATAACTTCTAGTTAGACTCTCTCATCTGAATTACTATGCACAAGAAAGATGATCCAGCAGCGAATGATATAATCTTCAATAGTCTGTTAAGTTAAAGTGCAAGAATTGATTACATAAGAAAACCCTATGTCTCTCCACCTTAGTCATAATACAAGTCATTGATATCTAGTCAGTATTTTTAATATCATAGAAATCTACCTCAACAACACAATGACTTGATGTCTTCATAAAATGAGTTGTTGAAAGTACATTAGACTGAAAGGAATCATGTACAGTGACTGGTAGTAACAGAACGAAATCCCTATAATTCAGTCAGTCAGTCAGTCAGTCACAACGTAGGACCAGGCACATATATACAACATCGATCCAACTTGCCATACATCATTAGCATAGAAAGGTGAACATCGAATACATAGAAGTAGTTACTTCAATGGTTGTAATATATATATATATATGTACATATGAATTCACATATTTCTATTTTGATAATACATTTTTCTTTGTTATACCAGATCTCGGATAATGAAATTGCTCAATTGATTGATCATAAAATTCATAGTTTAACTCAAATACATCCAAATTTCAATGAATTATCTTTTCTTTCAAGAAGTGTTAATGAAAGGGATTCTACTGTAGTAAGTTCAATATTGATTATTTCCCTCTATCTAATTAATAATTAATACTATTATTACGACTATTATTATTAAACTCCGCCTGGAGCCCCTCTGGGGCTACTGACAGTCCAAAGCCTGGAAAAATGAGAAGGGTTGTGCATGGGGTTAGCGACATCAACCCGTAGAAAACTAACTCGCTAAAAAGATGCTAACTAGAATAATTAATTCAAGTAACCACTCCTTCCATAAGGAAGTTAATCTACGCTGATCATTTTTCCCAGAAAACAATAAATAGTTGACAGGATTACTTGCTTCATTACTTCGAAACTATCACAAAGCAACAAAAAAAATAATTAGGAGGTTCAACTTAGAAAATTTTCACTCACCCCTATTCTTAAAATGGTCGAATGGGTCTCACTGATTCCCATTACTGTCAATTTGTATCTCCTCATTTCTGTTGCTATTTGACTGATCTTCCCGATCTCCCACATTGTTCGGACGTTCCACGTACCTATAAAAATTGTTGATCTGGTTGTTAGAAGTGGCATCGTCCTTGTGACTTCCGAAGGAACTTGGCTTTCACCATGAGGTGTCATAACTCTTCTAAATGAAAACCTTCTAACTCCTAGGGTAGAGTTTAAATGGTTTGAATTATTTTTTCTGGTTAGCGTTTTTTAGAGAGTTAGTTTTCTACGGGATGGGGTCGCTAACCTCATGCCCAACCCTTCTCCTTTGCCCAGGCTTAAGACTGGCGGCTTATGCTCCTCCACGAGGAGTAACAGGCGTAAGTAAGTAATTCTTAAAATATCCTTGTTGCATTAAGTTGTATATATGTTTCTCCGACACTAAAATGCTATTGGTTCGTTGTATCATTTAATATGCTACTTTGTAACACTTCCCAAGTACAATTTTATGTTGTATATATACGTTTGATTTGCGCCTGCTTTTATTGCTCATGCTTCTGGCTGCTTGTGCAATATATTTCCCCTTTCCCAAACTTGAACTTCCCTCTCTATCGTTAACGGGGCTGGAACGCGTCAGAATAGCTAGCTTATTGGTTATTGTGTCACAGAGTATTTGTTCCGTTTTCAGATTAAGTGCACCTGTAATACCTTCAAACGTATAGCTAATGAGAAGTCAATGAAAAAAAACAGAATTGATTGTATTAATCAAAATGTTATCAATAATGTATTGTTTAGATTCATCCAGTAAAGTTGATTTCATGAAATACTCAATCTTAATTTAGCATTTTACTTACTTACTTACGCCTGTTACGCCTCGTGGAGGAGCATAGGCTGCCCACCAACACTCTCGATCAAACTCTGTCTCAACCAATCCTTTCGAGCTTCTTCCAGTTCCTATTCATACTTTTCATACCTAATTCTATTTCCCGACGTAATATGTTCTTTGATCTTCCACTTTTTCGTTTCCCTTCACGATTCCAAGTTGAAGCTTGCCTTGTGATGCAGTTTAGTGATTTCCACAATTTATGTCCTATCCACTTCCAACGTCTTTTCCTAATTTCCTACTCAGCTAGAAGCTGGTTTGTTCTCTCTCACAGTAGGCCGCTGCTGATGGTATCCGGTCAATGTTGGATGATGAGTATTTTGTGTATACAACTATTTAGAAATACTTGTACTTTCTTAATGATGGTTGTAGTAGTAGTTCTTGAAGTTTCAACTCTGTACATTAATACTGTTCTGACGTTCGTATTGAATACTCTGACTTTGATATTGGCTTGTAGACAGTTGTTTTAAGTTCCATATGTTCCATTATACTATTCAATGATATTAGTTGCTTCATTATAATGTTTAATATGTGATCCTCATTACTTAACTGATGATTTATGATTGTTTCACTGGTTGAAATCATGAGTCAATTGAAGCTACACCACCATGGAAAACCTGGAAGCACTGGATGGCTGTTCTGTCTTAGCATGGGACACCATTGGATGTCGGCTCAGTGGTCTGATTGGTTAAGCGCCTAGCGCGAGACTGATAGGTCCTGGGTTCGAGTCTCACGGGGTGTGGGATCGTAAATGCTCACTGCTGAGGAGTTCCATACTAGGATGAAACGGCCGTCCAGTGCCTCCAGGTTTTCCATGGTGGTCTAGCTTCAATTGACTCATGATTTCAACCAGTGAAATTTCTAAAAAATTTCCACAAAACTCATTCTGATGTAATTGGTTGTTTGTTTTTCTTCTGATTTTGTTTCTATAGGCTATCATGATTATGTTTAATAATCTTGGTTTTATAAAACAATGGAATATATGTCAATCTAAATTAGCATGTTTTATATTAACAATAAAGAATAATTATCGTCAACCAACATATCATAATTGGACACATGCATTTACAGTTGGACATATGGCTTATCTAATATTAACTATTGAAAGAGCATTAATTCATCAATATTTAGATGAAATGGAACAATTAGCATTATTTATTGGAGCATTATGTCATGATATTGATCATCGAGGATTTAATAATCATTATCAAGTAAATAGTTGATGAATCTCTTATGAGTATATGTGTATACTAATATGGATTGCTTTGATATAGACTTTCATTGACAAGCATTCTAAGCAAAGATGAATAGTGGCTAGTAGTGGAATCAAGGAGGCATGTTTCATTTTATTTAGGAATGGGTCAGTTGGATGTACCTATCCGAACTCAATAGTTAAGTGGATAACATGATGTTGTTTCAAATGAACGGTACTGGGTTCGAGTCCAAAAGTGAACATCAACTCTGAGATGAAGATACATTCAACTGAAGAATCACAAATAGGACGAAACGTACATCATGAATTCCACTGCTAACCACCATCCATCTTTGCTTCTAATGTCAAGATTGTGATTTGATGCTTTGTTTAATTCATTCGAAAAAAAATATTACTCCCTAGAAATACATTAGTTAGTAGAAGTTTATAGAAACTAAATTAAATGTCCTACTTCTTGTTTGCACACTCAATAACATTCACTACATTTGATTCGTCTATTCAAACAATCATTTAATCATGCAATGTAAACTATTATTAATTAACCTTTCAACTATATTTACTTAGTTGGCTTTTCATAGATCATCACTTTTCACAAGAACTACCAGTATGACAGTGTGGACATGCACTAACAGAGAATTCTTAGCATAACATTTTCTTATAGGAATAATAGATCAGATTATGATTATTATTCTTCCTTAAATGATTAATTCAATAAAACAAGAATAATGATTGTAATAGAACATTGTGAGTTCATTAATTTCATTGATTTCCTTTCAGCTTATTCTTCTTTCAATCCAGAGCAATGCTAAACTAACCTTGAAAGTGTTCACCTAGTAACTAAAACCAAATGATGGTTAGAAACCAATGTGAAGAATTAGAATTAAGACTTACAGTTGATGATTAAAGTGAGAAGTTAGATTTGGGGGAGGGCGGGTATTCATCACGAACTGACATCAGCTATATTGCCAAAACTCTATTTAGCCAAATGGATAAATGAATTGATAAGTCGTGTGGATTGAACGCTATATTAGTTTCCTAAGCTATTCTGGTAACCCGCAGTCTAGAACTACACAGCGATTTGAACACCAGAGAGAAGATACAAGTATGAGAGAAAATACTTTATCCCAAGGTTCATTTTTGTACAGAAAATCAAGGGTATTTATAGATGTTGGCGTCTGTTAAATCAACATCATATTTCAGCCAATCCGTTAACGTCATTTTATGCTACCGACCAATGGTAGCACGCCACGCTGGAATTCTCGAACGTTCCATCATACTCTGATTGGCTAGGACCCTTCGGATCCTTTTGGGCCTCTGGAGGCTCCGTTGAAGTTCTCCGGAAGCCGACGCAACATGAATTTTGCACCAAATTAAAAGACCTGTTATCTTATACCGGATTGGTTCATCCATAAATTATAGTCTCGTCAATTTTTTTCTCTAATACTATGATTTTTATTAAAATTTGTAAATGGGAAACTGTTTCTAAGAAAGAATATTTTCCCATATATGTAGAAAAAAAGAATTGAACTATTCAAGAGTAAGATGGATGTTACATGGATGCCTCATTATTCTTATCTGAAGTTAAATTAATCCTGACAATTATGCACATCATCATCAGCATCAACAACAACATCTTGTCTTTACTTACAATATCAGAAGGGCTTTTTGTGGATATTATAGTAATTTTTGTAGTTCAGATCATGAATCTGTTATGGCTTTATGTTGCGGTCGATTTTTTACCCTGTGCTAATTGTTGTGTCCTTGACTGGAAAATTAGAGAGCAGCGTACTTATCGATCGATTACAGTGACACGTAAACACGTACGGACGGCCTAGAGTCTCGATTGGTCTCGCTTCCCTGTCTAGCCCAGTCAATTGAGTCCAGAACACAAGTCACAGCCTCTGAGTTATGAATCATTGTATTTCAAACATACTTTGTTTATATACCAATCAAGCATACCACATCGTACCATAAAATAGAAAACAACATTTTGTACAATATTCAACAAGTGAACAGATATCGACCAATAGGAAATGTCCATTTAAAGTCCAAGGACACCATTGGACTTAACATGATAATTATTGGTCTATTCCACCGCATCCACAACAGAATCAATTGAAGCTAGACCACCATGGGAAACCTGGAAGCATTGGATCGTGAGTGCACACTGCTGAAGTGTTCTACAATAGGACGAAACAGACGTCCAGCGCTTTCAAGTTTTCCATAGTGGTCTAACTTCAATTGACTTATGAATTCAACTATTGAAATTGTCTTGAGTTTATATAGAACAGAAGAACGGTTATCAGCAATGGAGTTCAAGATCTACGTTCCAGGTTATTTAGTACCTATTAGCTGATTTTTTTCTGGATTTTAACATGGATATTTATACTGGGGCTCGAACTCAACTCCTTACTCCTGAAACTCTTATCGTTTAATACACTGAGCTACTGAGTTCACATACTCATCAGTTTGTTTAATGAGTATACTATCTATATCATCATTATGATAGATTTCAGTTATCTTATAGTTAATATTGAGGACTGAAATCTGACTTGTCTTTGTTGGCTCATATTCATCAATGCATTCTGCTGTACACTGAAGAAGTATACGTGAACCATATAGATTACTCAACAGACTATTTGTGTCCACATGATATCTTAGTTTCCTTTGCTTGGTTAAGTCGGATAAAGTTCTCAACTTTCATTTAAGACTTTCCAGATTATACATTTAATGAAACGATCTCTATAGGAACAATTGAATTGACTAGTATATATACAGAATCAGAGGGGGGTTTTGTGAATATTATAGTAATTTTAATAGTTGAGTTCGTGAGTCAATTGAAGCTAGACCATTATTGGAAAACCTAGAATCACTGTACGACTATTTCGTCCTAGTATGAGACTCCTCAGTAGCACTCTTTCATGATCCCACCTGGTGAGATTCGAACCCGGAACCTATCAGTCTTGTATGCAGTAAGTTCAGATTTTCTTTGACAAATCATTTTCTTAGTTTGTAAATCATATTTCAATGAATAAATCATACTACTTTATTGTTATTTATTATTAGACACTTATTCATTCTCCACTTGATGCTGTTTATGGTTATAAAGGATCTATACTAGAACATCATCATATTGATCAAACAATGAGAATATTAAATATGAAAGATTGTAATATATTAAGTCAAATGACTAAAATAGTAAGTTGTTTCATTCATTTCTTTCTCTTTAGAATAATATACTACTTGTATATTTATTAAAGTAAGTAGAATGATTCTATACAGTTAATGATATACAATTGAATACTAAAGAAAGAATAACAAGATTCTGTGAGAAAAATGATTGTATTTTATCATTTTCAGGGTTTCTTTTTTTATGATGGTGGAGAAGATTTGTAGCTCAGGTGGATGATTTTGGTGGAGTTTTGTTCTCTGAGCTGGATGGTTTGGTCGTGGAGCTTTTATCGTTCTTCTGAACGACATCTGAACGACATCAATCATAAACAGTCTAAAGTTACTTACGCTTGTTACTCCTCGTAGAGGAGTATAGGCCACCCACCAGCATTCTCCATCCAATTCTGTCCTGGGCAATCCTTTCCAGTTGTTATTTATTCTTTTCATATCTGATTCTATTTCCCGACGTAATGTATTCTTTGGCCTTCCTCTTTTCCTCTTCCCTTCAGGATTCCAAGTTAGGGCTTGTCTCGTGATGCAGTTTGATGATTTCCGTAATGTATGCCCTATCCATTTCCATCATCTTTTCCTAATTTCTTCTTCATCTGTAAATTGGTTTGTTCTCTCCCACAGAATTGTGTTGCTAATGGTATCCGACTACAAATTATGATATAAAACACAATAGTATAAGTTAATGTGTATTTTTGTATTTGAACTCAGTTTAACAGGAGGTCAGATTTTGAATAGCTCAATAATGAAATCTAAGATTATGCAACTAAGTGACGAGGGTTGGAATTTCACAAGCAGCATCAATTCCTTCAAGAGTATAGGTATACGTTTTTGACAAGTATTAAGTAGCACGAAGTTTAGGTCAAGTAAGGTTTCTGTCAGACTACAAAATAGTCTATGCAATTTCAAATGACTTTGATTAATTCCCAGTTAGGTCGTTTTAAATAAAAGTGAGCTTCTGAGAATTAAGAAATTCAACTTTGATATTCCTCATCACTGAACAGCAATGATCAGTCAGTGAATTAAACACAGGACTAGCAGAATTCTTTTAAGTTATTGAGTCGAAATTCAATAGTCCCTATTTGTCAAGTTCCATTCATTTCAGAGATGACAAGTTCCTCATTCTGTGTTATTAGCGAGTCACTACTGAACTTGTTAAATAGTCCAATACATAGATCATCACTTCAAAAATTTCGACCAACATAACTGCAAATATAACTGTCATTTGGTTTATTTCAATATGGTTTAGTAGAAATACTAATTAAAAACGATGAAGTGTGACATCATTGAAATGCCATTGTGTTTACCATGAGAGCAGAAAATCGTCGGTTTAATTTAACTTAATAAAGTATGTCAAAGAATAAAGTGAATCAGATGTCCGGTGCTTCCTCGGTTTCAACAATTCATCAGTTCATAATGCTTCGCTAATGAATCACCTCGATAACCGTTATAATATAAATTTTCAACGGTGTTTAAAATCAGAAGGGAATAAGAAGTGGCAATTACAATTTATTAGCGGATAGCGCAGATCACAAAGTTATAAGCACGTCAAGTGTATTTGAAGCAGAGAGGCGAATAAGTATATGCGCGAGTAAATACATAAGCAAGATTCTAGTTAAGTTACATAAGGGCGCAGCAAGGCAAAGCAAAAGCTAATACATAAATGCCAGAAGAGAATGAATCATTGAGTGATATTTAAGCAGTCAACATTTCAGCTAGAGTCTGTCATGTGCTCTAGTGATCATAACAATACAAAGAAATATACTGATTGTTACTATTCAAATAACATTGTCTATTAAGTAAGTGAATCAAAAGGGTTTAACCAATATATAACCATAATCGAAAATGATTGTAGGATGTAAAGACCTTCATATATCTGGACAGCATCATTAATGACCACGGTGGATCTGATGTAGATGTAAAGGCGCAGATCGGTAAAACAAGAACAGCATATCTATAATTGAAAAACATTTGGAACTCAAAACAGCTGTCTGTCAACCAACACCAAAGTCACAATTTTCAATACAAATGTCAAGACAGTTCTATTGTATGGGGTAGGAACTTGCAGAACTACGAAAGCCATCATCCACAAGATATAAGTGTTTATTAACAATTGTCTAAGCAAAATACTTCAGATCCTTTGACCAGACACTATCACCAACAACCTAGTATGGGAGATAACAAACCAGATTCCAGTAGAGGAAGAAATCAGGAAGAATCGCTGAAAGTGGATAGGACACACATTGAGGAAATCACCAAACTGCATCATCACAAGACAAGCCCTCACTTGGAATCCTCAAGGTCAAAGGAGGAGAAGTGGAAGACCGAAGAACACATTACACCGAAAAATGAAGACAGATATGAGATGAATGATCAACAATTAGATAGAACTAGAAAAGAAAACCCAAGGACAAAAAGGGGTTGGAGAATACTGCTTAGCGGCCTATGCTTCACTGGGTAGTAACAGATATAAGTAAGTAAGTAAGTAAGTAAATACAATAAACAACTGATGAATGACACTTTTCTCTCTTTTCTTTTCTTCTTCTTTCCTTTATTCCTATAGGAATATGAAAGATTTAAATTATTATTAAAACATATTATATTAGCTACAGATTTATATCAACATATTTCAATCATCCCTGAACTCATTCAATTATCCAATGTATCCTATGATCCATTCAATAGACAACATCATGAATTACTTTTATCTATTCTAGTTACATCATGTGATTTAAATGATCAATGTAAACATTGGTTGAATACACTTGATACAGCTAAATTCATTTATTATGAATTTTTTCATCAAGGTGATTTAGAAAAATCATGGAATACACTCCCTTTATTATCATCATTTGATAGAGAGAAAGCATTTATACCAGAATTACAAATACATTTTATTGATTCAATTGTTCTACCATGTTTTAAGTAAGTGAACTGAGTTTACATGAATGAAATGAAATGATATTGCTTTGATAAGAGTATAACACAACTCACAATTGATTGATCACAGAGTGGTGATCAATATCATGTGTACCAAGTCCTTATTATCGAGTATAGCAACTATCCTACAGTAAGTCAGTCGGTCAGTTACAATGTAGGATCAGGCATATATATGCATCGGTACAACTTACAACACCTTACTCATTATTAGCACAACATAACAAACAACAAATTCATAGAAGTAGTTAATTCAATCGTAGTAATATATAAAAGAATGATTGCATATAAGGATATAATACAGGAAGAAAGAAAGATCATATGAAGCGATTTGAATCTTATAGTTTAGAGGAAGACAGAGAGTGTATACACCTACGCCATTGTGATCGATGCTGAGCCATGTCACACACAGTCTCCAACCATTGATTACGATAGTCACATGGACCCCAACCAAGTAGTCTGCATCTACCAACATGGCTCAGACTAGAAGTTAGTGACTTTGTGAACTGATGCCACAACTTGGTTTGTCTGCCCCTAACTTTCTTCCAACCATTCCCAACACTAGTCAGTATTGCGGGTCATGGTAATCACTGTTCAGGCATACGCAACATGTGACCCAACCATTTCAGTGTCTGCTATCCTGCAACCAGTTTCGATTATGATTAATTTTGGTTAAAGCGTTTTATTAACAGTTAACAAGGTGATCAATTAACGAAGCAATATCAATACATGACACACCAAAAATTAGTTTATTATAACTATCTTACAAAGACAAGTGTTTAGATTAAGTTTTGGTGATGAATGTCAAATATCATGAAACCTAGGATAACAGGCTTTGCAACCGATCACTTCCAACAGCCTAACGTCAGCTCTCCCTATCGAAATGCTCTCACATGGCCACGTGTATACAACCACTACCAGAGAATTCCTACTCACTGAGTTCGCGCGGCACCGGTGTTGTTTACGAAATTGAGAGGAAGAAAAGCGAATGTCCGGTGTTTTACCCAGGTTAATGAACACCGAGAGTTCACCTAGAGGAGTTGTAAAACCTTAATTCCAAACGATTGGTGCACATGGGCTACCAGGTTCCTGAAAGAACAAATGGCATATGTACCAATTATTGTTCAACAACTACCATGGAACTGTATCTCATAACGTGGTTCCACTGCCTTGTGGATGAAACTTTTAGGTCAAAGGCTACGAGTATGGCCCCCTGTTATAACTTGTGGTCTGAGTGCCCTGTTAACCTATAACGTAACGATATCGCCAATTAGATGACACTGAATTATCAATCAGACGAATGACTCATTGAACACGTGCGAGCGGGCTAGAGTCCTGATTGGTCATGCTTTCTGCGTAGCCCAGCCAGTCGAGTCCATAACATCAATCTTAGCCTCTGCAATATGAATCATGTATTTCAAACATACTCGGTCTATATACCACCAACCAGACAGAACACACCTTACCATAAATTGTGAAATAACATTTGTACAAGATTTAGCCAAATGTGGCCGCGAATGTGAGAGATAGTAGTTAATAGACAGGGTGTAATTCAAGAATGGAAAATCGTGTAATATCGGTTTATAGATTAAAATAAAGCTTATGATAAGAGGGACATGAATACGGATAGTTTAGTTATTTAACAATTATACGATAAAAATATACACATAATATTGAACCATGAATGAATCCCAAAAGTTACCATTCATTATGCTTGTCGGAACATAACACACACACCCCTCAAAGAAAACCATTTGCTACCGTCTGTGCACCCGAGTAGTATCACAGCCCACACATACACATCAATCAAATGATTTATATGCGCGCGTATGTAATCGATACCTCCATTTTATCCATATTTATATAATCGAATCAATAAATAAATAAAAAATAATTACATCACTTTTCTTTGTTTTTAATTTATTTTTCTCTCTATTTTGATTCCTTTGATTCATTCCACTTTGTTTGACCTAATTTTACTATTATTATTATTATTACTACCACTAACACTACTACTACTACTACTACTACTGCTAATACTACTACTACTACTACTACGACTACTACGACTACTACGACTACTACGACTACTACTACTACGACTACTACGACTACTACGACTACTACGACTACTACTACTACTACTACTACTACTACTACTACTACTACTACTACTACTACTACTACTACTACTACTACTACTACTACTACTACTACTACTACTACTACTACTACTACTACTACTACTACTACTACTACTACTACTACTACTACTACTACTACTACTACTACTACTACTACTACTACTACTACCATTATTATTATTATTATTATTATTATTGAATTTGTTTATTTCATTTAGGATATTGTCGAAGTTTTTACCAAAATTTCAATCCACTCTTTATACTATTCATAAGAATAAAAAAATTTGGCAAATTCTATTTGAAAAATTTAAACAAAATCAATTCATAAATTATACAAACGATTTATTATTTAATAAATATTATAATAAATTAATAGAAGAATATCTATGATACATAGAATATAATGAAACAATACGGTGATGAGGATGATGATGATGATCTTACTTACTTCATGACGCTTGTTACTCCTGATAGAGGAGGAGCAGAGACCGCCGCCTATCAACACTCTCCATCCAACTTTGTCCTGAGTAATCTTCTCCAGTTGTTATTCATCTTTTTCATATCTGATTCCGTTTCCCAACATAATCCATACTTTGAACTATTATTATGATAATGATATTTTATAATGAATACATTTTATTGTACAAATATGTATATGAATCATATTTTGATGTTAAATAATTGACTAACTACTACTGTTCATATTGCAGTGTGTGCGTGTGTGTGTGCGGAAATGTACTACTGATATCAACAGATATAAGTAGTATATATCACCCATCAATCAATAATGACATGTTTGCCAGCAGAAAGTTAAAAAAAAGAGATTAAACAGAATAGAATGAGAATAATGAACGATTACTGTGGAAATGAAACAACAATCAATTGTCTCACAATTGATTGATTAATTGATTGATTGAATGATTGATTAATTGATTGATTGATTGATTAAAGTATTCATTGTATGATACTTAGATGTTCTGTAATTTAGTGTATTCGCATATATTCGACTATTCTTACTTGTATATTCTCATTTATTGTTATACTACTTATATACTATTTTTTCTTGTCTATAAACTATTTGTTTTTTCTAATTGAGAACTATTTTACTATCTGATCTATCATCATTTCATTATTAAATGGATGTTTCTATTATGTATGCTTTTTCTCATGTATATTAATTACTTTCATCTATTATAAATAATGAATGGATCAAGTCAGTTAATCGATTAACTACAAACTATATCTCTATTTTTCATGGATTCTGTTCGCTAAAAAGAAAAGAGAAAAAAAAGAAGAAAAGAAAAAAAAGAAAAAAACTTTTTTTGGAAATAATCAATTCTATTTAGTTACTAAACAAAAAACAAAAAATTTTTTTCTTTTTTTAATAATCAATAATTAATTTATATTACAGTATTGGAGGAGTTACATTTTAACTATTGGGAATCCATAACTAAGATATTATGATGTAATCATATTGTGGTGCTTGCTACTTATATTGATGTAAGTAGTATATGACGCGAGTTACAAAACGTAATGTCTAGCAGCAGAAGATGGTGGAAGACCAAGAAAAGAAGAGTGGAAACACAATGCAATTTGTAAGAAAACGCATAAACAATGAAATGTGAGACAATGGATTGATGTTTGCAATAGGAACAGTCCAGGTTGACATGATGGATTGATATTTCGCAAACTAACGATTTACTATATGGTTTTTCTATTTTGCCAAGTAACTCTGTAATTGTGTGCTAATTAGAATTTGATTGTCCCCATCCGCGTTCTGTTCACTACAATATTACTATAAAATGAAATCATTAAAAAGATTATTGATTCATGTAATAAATATAAGTAATGAAAATATGTTGCATAGATACATTTAGATATATTATTGATCATTTAATCATCATGGTTACAATTTCTTTATGTCTTAATGATGATATATACAAACTTTATTGGTAACTATTATCATTATTGTAATAGCAAATACAATTACTTATGAAAGATATCAGTTGAATAATGATATAGTTGATGGTAGTAAGAATATCTTAAATAAATGAATGGTATTCATTCAAGATTGACTACAATTTAGGTTGTTCTCTTCTAATTTACAGCTGCAAAACGTGGCCATTAAGAGTACAAGATGTTCGAAAGCTTGGAAATATTTTTCGCATCTGCTGTGATTATCGGGTAAGCAATAGTGAGGTTAGATGCAGGGTATTAGGGAATGATAGTAAATCAGTTGATCAAGTTGTGAATCTTCATCGACTGAGATGGTTGGGCCACATGTTATGTATGCCTCAACGCTGATAACCACGGTGCGAAATGCTGACTCGTATTAGAGGCAGTTGGAAGAAAGTTAGGGTTGGCCAAACCAAATCGTGACATCAATTCACAAAGTCACTAACTTCTAGTCTGAGCCATGTTGGTAGATGCAGACTACTTGGTTGGGGTCTGCGGGACTATCGTAACCAATGGTTGGAGACTGTGTGTGACATGGCTCAAAATAGATCACAATAACGTCGGTTTATACATTCTTTTTTTTCCTTTAAACTAAGTGATTAAAATCGCTTCATATGATCTTTCTTTTTATCAACTAATTCTTTCTTCCTGTACTATATCCTTATATGCAATCATTCTTTTATATATTACTACGGTTGAAGTGACTACTTCAATGAATTTGTTGTTTGTTATGTTGTGCTAATGTGTAAGGTGTGGCAAGTGTGACCGATGCACATATGTGCCTGATCCTACGTTGTAACTGACTGATTGACTGAACAGAAATAAATGGATAGTTTCAGGTGTTTTGTGGAGATTGTAGTACTTTTAATAGTTGAAATTATGACTCAATTGAAGCTAGACCACCATGGAAAACCTGGAAGCACTAGACGGTTATTTCGTCCTATTATGGAACTCCTTCGTGACAGTGCGCATGCACGACCACACCTCGCGACATTCAAACCCAGGACCTATCAGTTGTTACGCCCTAGTCTAGGATTCCTTATTAGTGTGCTCATTGGACCTCATCATTTGTCGTGATGAGTATTTAATAAAATGAACCACTAGGTTGGTACTATTAAACTTTAGTTTAGTAGTTCTGTTTTTTTTAAGATACTCACCACGATTCATAAAACTCTGAGATTGATCTATATTGACGTCGCATATAGATATAGATGAGTTCAAGATTTGGAGGAAATAGCTGTTCATGTATCTGCGTTTTTTTCAACGGGAGCCAAACCGTAGTCAATTAATAACGAACATCAAATGAGTAATCTACACTAATCTACACAAAATTAATTTATCTAAAATCCTTTAAATATGTTTAGGTTTAAATAACATTAAGAAGAATTCTCAGCCATGAATATATTGTTGGTTATTCATAGTTATGGAGTTGATTCTTTCAGAAATGAAGATATTCAAATCGTTGTTACTGGCTTTGTTTCTCAGTATTGCTACCTTGAGACTGTAATTACACTTTAATGATGTATCATGTTGTACGCATCGCCCGGTGGTGATCTCCTTCCTTATTTTATCTTACCTTACTACATTAAGACAGTATAACCTAGTAATTGCATTAGGAACTTGATGAAAGAAATTCAATTTGAAATAAGCAGTAAACATTGTCTAGTGTTTACCAAAAATATACTAAAGGAATATATTACTGATAAGGGAATTAAGTATTAGTACAAATGACATACATTACGCAAATCATCAAACTGCATCACGAGGCAAGCCCTAACTTGGAATCCTGAAGGGAAGTGGAAAAGAGGAAGGCCAAAGAGCACATTACGTCGGGAAATAGAATCAGATATGAAAAAGATAAATATAACTGAAAGAACTGGAAAGGATTGGTTGGGAAAGGATTGGATGGCGAGTGCTGGTGAGCGGCCTATGCTCCTTCACGACGAGTAACAGGCGTAAGTAAATAAGTCAATAAGTACAAATGTCTCATTGATAATATATTGAATTGTGACACCGAACAATAAAACTTCATATTTCCTCAAGTACTAACATCCGTTTTCTCCAGATTACGGTTTTTGTATACAACTGTGTACTGACCGGCAGTAAACTTTAATTCAAAACATCATGTTACTTATCTATGGTAATTATTCATGGTTTTGATATTGCAGCTAATCTTAGAATCCATTAGTTATGAGCGTCAATCATGTTCACAACTGTTTGCAAAAATACATAATCAAAAATTAGGGAAACTTTTAAAGAAAAAATCATGGTTTTCCGAATTAGTTCCTACAAATATATTGACAATTCTAGCATATTTGAATTATGGCAAAGTAAAATTCGGGACAAGAGTCTCGCCACTCATGGAACTCGACAGCTACGTGTGATTTACTCCCTAATGTCGGTATCTTTACTGACTTAAATATAGTACATATTGCTTCGAATATCAACAGGTTATCTACCTAGCTGCTATTTTCCAATGTTAACAGACTTCTTCTAATTGTTGATATTGAGGGTTGGAGTTAATAAATCTCTGTTGGAATCTGCTCATGCTCCCCCTTATATAACAACACATAGTTATTAATAGTGATTATGAGTAATAGCAACGGAATAGTATAAATCAACCATTGTGATTTTAAAAGTATGAAGTGTATTCAAATTCCTGCAGTTTCTAAGCACATTTATTAGTGCATTGTACATCAACTAGAAAAAAAAACAAAAGAGAATACACTTAAATTACAAAAACACTTCTACATTTATAGATCAATATTTTATAACGTAATAGACGAGACTGCAATTTATGAACGAAACAATCAGATTTATAGATGGCAGATCTTGAATTTTGGCGCGAAATTCATTCATTCATTTGGCTAAATAGAGTTTTATCATTATAGCCGTGACCAGTAGAGCTAATCCGTGTTGGGTAGAGATAGGTATCTGCCTCAGTACAATGGAAGATGGATTGGTTGAGGTTAGACGTTAACACCATTGGATGCCGGCTCAGTGGTCTAGAGGTTAAGCGTTCGTCGTGCACAGGAGTGATAGGTCTTGGGTTCGAATCTCGCGGGGTGTGGGATCGTGAATGCGCACTGCTGAGGAGTCACGTACTAGAAAGAAACGGCCGTCCAGTGCTTCAAGGTTTTCCATGCTGGTCTAGCTTCAGCTAACTCAATATTTTCAATCGAAAACTTAACAATCTCCACAACACCCAAACTGATATTTATCATTATAGTTTATGTCAGTTCGTGATAGAAACCCGAAATCTAACCCCTAACTGTTCATCATAATTCTAATTTCCCACATTGATTTATAACTATCATTTTGTCCTAATTAGGAGGTGGACATTCTCAAGGTTACTTTATCGTCAGTCAAAGATTGTCCATAAATTATAGATCTCAGCGAATACATCGACTTTTTTGTCTCTAACTAGACAAACT